GTATTAAGATGACAGGAGATACACATAGATTGGGGAGGGGCTGGGGGATGTCAGTTTTTGACAATTTGAAAGGGACCTGGTCAAGGGGGGGGGGGGGTGGTTCATCTACTTTTAAACTGCATGTATTGTATCACACCTTACATTATTGAATCACCAACTTCTAAATATAATCATTAATCTGTCTCACTGGTGCCCCCTAAATATTGTTGATTTTTCATGAAACACATGTACTGCAAATCCTAACACGATGGGATTTCACCTGCGTTTTTGTCATGGTATGATGTTGATCCATGGGGAATTTTACATTGTTTGAACAACTTTGCAAAAGTGATACACCTACTGTTCAAACAAGCCATCTACCTACATATATTTATTTTGAAAAGATGAATTGATTTACCCAATAGAGCAAATTATTCTCGAGGTCTACCAGTATATGTAGATTTGACTTGGGGAGTGATCGACATCTATTTTGCGATATAATGGGTTACGATACATGAAGCATTGATGTTGGAAAATGGTCTAGATCTTTATCAATCTCAACATTCTTAACCTATAAACACTCTATGATATGACTCCTATGTTTACCTCTCACATTTCAGTGAAGACCTCTTCAAAAATCTCAACATTCTTTTGTAATTTATTGCGATCACTAATAAAGAATACTGTCATCAAACTGGCAATCTTGCAATCATACATGCATGTCCACCTCTCTCCGTATGATTTCATTAATAAACATAAATAATGGACTAACAAATTAACTTACAAATGTAATATACTAAATCAAATATTTATATCGCTCTTTATCATTTTTTTATAATTATTTTGTACACCGTCCTCAAGAACAAGAAAGAAATATAACACATGGCAGAAAAAAAGTACATATTATGACAGAATCATCATTTCTTTTCATCTAAAGCGATGAAGCTTTCTTGAAACAAATATCTAGGATATTGGGCAATTTTGAGATCATTTACAAGTCTCAAGATATTGTATTCAATTAGAATAGAGGGCGCTGTTCACCACGCTCGCTACAATTCTACGATGAAATGGGACATAATTGTCTGTTAAGAGCCAGAAGGGCAATAACTCATCATCTGGCGCTCTCTCAATGCCTTTCTAGCACTAAACAGACAATATCATATCTCAGAGTGGACAGTGAAACTGTTGCATGCCTAAAATCGCATTTACATCTACAAACTCAATATAAATATAGGGCAATGAAAATTTGAAAATAAAATGTTTTGTGCTTTTCTATACAAAATGGAGTAATGGAAATGGATTTATGAACCATCCTCATCTGCAAGCCTGTCCTTTTCTCTCATTTCTCTTTTCTTTCCTGAGTTTATATAAATAAAAATGTATTTTCAACTTCAAAGCAGACAGATAGACAGACAGAGAGACACACAAATCACACACCCAAGACAAATACAATTCATATAAATAAGAAATACAGAGAGTATTCCTTGCGTAGACTTCTTCAACTGATACACCATGGCCAGTTCCTTCACTCATTCTATAATTAAAGAGATGATCTCTTTTCCTACCAAAATTGGAAGCAGTTATTCATTCAAATCTTTCTTGCAAGTGAAGTCACACGTGTATGTTCCTAACATAAACAATGTATGATGATGGCTTCTAGTATAGTGCAGGTATCCGACTCTGCTAGGCGCTTGTGACGTAAATATATAAGCAAATGGTGTAGAAACTTAGAAGTGATACGTTCAATACAAAACTGTGTAGATTATGCAGGGAGAAACGGTGGAGCAAATTATTTCTACACAATCTCAAGCAATATATCGTCCGCCAAGAACCAGAGGCCTGAGAGGGGCTTAAACACGCATCCTTTAACACAGAGTCAATACCCTCCTGGCTCTCGGCAAATGAGGGCAGTATGAATTCTTTACTTTTTGTATACCAGTATCTCGACTTTGTGACATACTTCATGTACAATGGCTGCCTCAGTATCTCGTAAAGCATACAGGACATACATGTACCGTCTAATACATGGGCATGTAAAAGTCTTATCAATAACTGAATGACAATGTGGAGATGTAAAAGACAAATATGTTCCTTATAGCTAAAACAGAGACACAGAAAGGAAGAATAAATGGTTCTCTAACAAATGCACAGAATTCAGAAGACCAATCATGCAATATGACGACAACTGCTTGGATCAGAAGGGCTCTAAATACATGTACATGTATATATTAAACATGTACATGTATGTAAATATTGACTAATACATGTAACATGATTCAGGCTCTTAGCAGAAGCAATTCCTTAAGCAAGCAAAGCCCAATATTTGAGTGGAATGTAAATGTAGCTTTTTAAAAGTCACTGGCAAAGCGGACTGCTGTATATTTTCTTCATTGAGTAAATGTTATGTCTCCTTCATCTTCTGATCCATGTATACAATTGATGTATTTCAAAAAAAGTTTATGATTACTACACAGTAACCTATTTCCTTGATTTGAATTCCTTATCCAATATCTTCGTGTGCAAATAGGTAAAAGTTAGCAACAAAAAATCACAAGTTCTAGTCAACATTCTAGAAAAAATAATTTTTGTAGAATCTTGCTCTTTCTACTTTAACTCCTAGAATTCTCGATCAAGAGCCTTTTTTTTTGTTAACGTCACTAAAAGGCAACACTGTACAGCTATGGGTCTAGTCATCATACTGGATAAGAAATCATGTTTTTGATAACATCATTGATGCATTGGATTCGGGTCTGCAGAAATTGGTAAAATTCCACCTTTTACATAATAAAAAGAAAACATGTTGAATATACCGGTATGTCTTTTAGAGTGTACTGATATAATTACTCTGTACATCTTTAATCGGTACAGTGTACATATATTTTTTCTTTCTTTTTAAAATCTCATTTTCTACATGCACTCAACACAAATACAAATGACATTCAGTTTGTTCTGACTCACAAAAAAAAAAAAAGAAGCAGGATAGCAGGTCAAATAATGTAAAAATATGAATAATAAATACAGAAACAGTGTTGCTATTAAAGTCAAAAGGCACCTTTAAAATTCATGAGAAAACTGCTCTGTATTTTTTTCTTAAACACCTTCAATACTCTACTACTAAAAGTAGGTTTGTGTAATACACATAATGCCAGCTAGATTCAGTCTTATAGCCCTTCCAGATACAGAATAATATAAATACTGCATTTTACTAATGCCCCTTTGCCAGGAAACGAAACAATGATGTCCTAACTTTAAACTTGTACGTTTTCCACAACTTTAAATAGAAAATATACACCAAGCTTTTTTTGGTTTTACAAGGATATTATGAAAGGAATCCGTTTTACATATCATCTTGAATTATTATTTTTAAATGCCAATAAGTGTTTAAATTTTCTCATTATTAACCACTACAATTGACCTAAGCAAGGCAAAATTAAAACAGTGTAGTTTTATGCTTGTATGTTAAAATACATTTATTTTATCTGCTAGCAGTCAGAAGGACATGAACTTGTTGTTGAAGTATATGAGTAATACCCTTCTGGCTCCAAACAGATGATTTACACCTGGATCAAAATGAAACAACGCAACCCTACATCTTTTTACCATAGTCCTGCTAGAACTCCGAGTACAGCATCACACACAAAACTGACCAATCACAGCACACATTTAGATCACATGACACATGAGGCATTTTTCTCTCTGATTTGTTTTCAATGTCTATTCTGTGCCATTCTTCATACTCATATAAAGCACCATTTGGTTTCTTTCAGTCAAATCCTGTTTTTCATTTCATTTTCTGCTTGTTCAGTTATAACCAACTCATTTTAAACTGTACAATGCAGAGATAATATCATTATATTATACACTGAATTCTCTTCTGTCATCAAGCCAGCCACATCAGAATATACGGTAAGCTGGCATCTGGCCTGCAATATGATATTTATTTCGTTTTCACACTAGCCTCTTCACAGTAACTAAGCTCCTAAATGAATCTTGAGGAAATGTTCTTCTTCCATCTCTTTCAAACAAGGCTCCCCAATTACAATTTTTTTCAGAGGGAAGGGGGAGTCCAGAATGAAATATTGGGGACCTGTGTACAACTTGCTGCTGTTTACATTTTGATATTTTAGGGATTTGGAGTGATATTATGGGGGTATACTTTGTACACTGCATCCCAAATGTGTCAAGACGTTCATACATATGATAATCTGAATACAAGCATGCTTTGCAACCAAACTTGAATCCCTGTTTCCAACTGTCCATGCTAAATTTCATGTTGATAATCTTGAAACGACTTCTGTTTACATCAAATAACAAGGATCTAGGAGTTTTGTTGTAAAGACAAATGACGCATATTTTCAATTGCTCATTACAGGATCTATCTGCTCTTGTTGAGGCCTTTCATGCACCTATCATAGTCAGCATGACAGCTTTGTATGATAGATGCATACAGCCTCAACTCCAGTTTGGACAGATCTTATAATGATCTCATTCCCATTCTAATCAGGGGCCTGTTTCACAAAGCCTTTTTTCAATGACAAATGACAAAAATCAGTGACAAATCTGCTGATAACCAATCAGAAGCAAGGATTTCAGTAGCTTATAACAGAAACTGTCATTTGTCACTGATGACAAGTTCTGTGAAACGCCTCCCAGATTTGGTTTCTATCTGCATTTGTATCCACTCAATACACTTGAGAACTCAGGGCCCCCGTTTCACAAAACTTGTCATCCGTGACACATGACAGTTTTTGTTATAAGCTACTGAAATCCTCGCTTCTGATTGGTTATCAGCAGACTTGTCACTGATTTTTGTCATTTGTCACTGAAAAAGGGGTTTGTGAAACGGGTCCCATTTGTGAGCGTGGCAAAATCAAAGTTCAAGTAGAGCCATATATATATAGAAAAGTAAGAGAGAGAGAGAGAGAGAGAGATCATCATGTAAGTGTGAATGATTAATTCAATATAATTACATGACAAGTATCGATGCACAATATTTACTGAAGATATAACCATGTGTGTCGTTGCTAAGATTAAGAATGAAACACAATTGAGCAAGTCACAACTAGGAATTGTGGCGTGCGCCTGTAATCCAGCTAACAATGGAAGTTACAAACTGATTCAGCCGAGGACGCAGGTTCGAAACTGAGTCACGTCTTTCGGATGGTGACGTTTAAAGGTCGGTCCCCAGACGTAAATAATCATATCTGATACATGACTGTAAAAACCTAAAAATACACACATAGGATGTCCAATACATCACCCAGTATTACCATGGAGATATCTCCATGGTATTACTGAGCTGTGTATGTTGCTGTATTGTGAACATAAATCTGAAAATATATAATTTGATGTGACCTTTTTTTTGGTCTGATTCAAGCTGCGGAAGGGCTATCATCAGCTTGACTCATTTGTCAGGTATACTGGAATCTTAGATGTAGATGGTAACATATGGGATAGAATAGCTTTGACTTGCCCAATTATTCTAAGCAGGTGTTGGGGTGTGGTGTATAAAAGTGAACACGTTGGCAGTGTGTTTGAATAGTAATGTATCACATGACTGGCAACTATTAGTTGCATTCGCTCTTACACTCATCGCAATGTCGCATGGCAAGTCTTTCGAGATATATATATATATATATATACACGAATTATACACGAATGAAGACGATGAATTTTTAAACAAAGACAGACAGTAGAGTGGGTATTAATGTCCAGTTATGAAGGCATGTTTACACTACATCAAATTGTCATGAATGGCCATCAGGCCAGGCGCTGTAAGCAGATGGGTATATATTGCTAGATGCGTAGCGTTGCTCCATGGGCAGGCCGGGCAGGCGTCGATTCATGAAGAAGCATTACCTACTTAATTGCAGATTGCAAGCTGCAGGGTTCACATGGAGCCATTGTTTAACGTTTAATCAATGACGATTTATCTAGCTATCCAACTGCCGTACGTGAGAGAGTGTGTGAAAACCCCGTTCACACTCTGCCTAACCTTCGTCAATTGCACTCCGGCGAGCTGTTGTTAGCGGATGGGAACACCAGAATGTGGTCCATGGTGTGCTGGGGGGAGAGGCGGGCCTCGAAGGAGTGCGGGATGCTGTCGGCCGAACCCGCGCTGGAGCTCAGAACGCCGTTGCTCTCGGCAACCACCTCCGGGGCGGGATGATGAAGATGGTGGTGACCTGGCGGGAGAGAGATGCGAGATAAGCAGCGGAGAGATTGGTGAGAGGGGTGGTGGTGGCTGGAGTCAGAACGGAGCTGACTTGCCTGTGGTAGGGGTGGTGGGTGTGGTCACATAGAGGTCACAGGAGGGTCAATGGGAGGAGATTTATAGGGGTGTGGGGGTCACAGGAGGGTCATGGGAGGAGGAGAGAAGGAGATTTATAGGGGTGTGGTCACATAGGGTCACAGGAGGGTCATGGGAGGAGGGGAGAAGGAGATTTATAGGGGTGTGGTCACATAGAGTCACAGAAGGGTCATGGGAGGTGGGGAGAAGGAGATTTTTGGGGATGTGTTCACAAATGGGTTACATTTAAGGGCATATGAGAGGGGAGGTTCATACGGGTCACAGTACAGGTCATGTAGAGGATTAATATGGGTGCAGCAACACAGAGGATAAGGATGATTTTTAAGGGTGCAGTATTCATAGAAATTCATGAATTGGGACATATATATACAAAGATGAGCACAGCAGAAGAAAAATGCAAGGTGGAAAATATATACAAGAAGTGTGAATACAAGAAGAGAATGACCCAAAGTAATGATGGATGGTGATATGGAGGGGATGGGTAATTTCAAGGGTGTGGGATGGATATGATATGGAACGATGAGCGAGCAAAGCAAAAGTTCAAAGCAAGATGGGAATTCCCCAAAATGAAGGATGAACGGGTGAATACATCAATAAATGAATGAAAGAACAGAGTGATGAATGGAAGAGTGAATTGATGGGTGAATGATTGAATGAAAAGAAGGATTGACATTTATCAACAAAACAGAAAAAAAACATCGAAGGGATCAAATGTAGGGGTTGAAACCAAAGATATAAATTCACAAGGCAGGCAAATTGATGACATTTGAAAAGAAAGTTATAATACCAATTGATGCATTCACAAATTCAGGTAACAGGAAGAGGAGAATTGATTAAGAAAGATGAATACATGGAAACGAAGAGCAAAGACCCAAGGAATTAGAATTGGGAGGGTTCATTCATTCCAAGGAAGGGGTGAGAGAGAAAAGAGAAAAGGAATGAAAAATTAGAATGTTATATGTGAAATCACAATAATGATATAAAGCACAAAGTTATAACAGATTTTCAGTTAGAATGTAGAGAGCATGAATGTTTAAAACCAGCTTCTTGTAGGTTTGATGTTTGAAATATATCAATGTCATAGAGCAGAAGTAACATAACGAGACCCACCATACATAATCCCTACGATACAAGTACAACAACTTTGCTTTCATGCCCTTCTCGAATGAGAAAGATTTATTATTTGTTTGATTGTTTTTTTTTTTATAAAGTTGTCCTTAACAGAGAGTGTTGCCACTGCCCTCCCATTCCCCCAGATGGGTAATATGTTTTTATAGGGAGTAAGAAAAGCCTCTGAAAAGCACCACTGGTCTGTACCTTGCACCAGAGAGTTACGGTAGTTACAATGGAGGAAAACTAAATATACAAAAGTGACAACATTTGTTACATCATTCTGTCACACAACTGTGGATGACAGCTTAAATCACTTTAACTACCCCCCCCCCCCCTTAAAAAAAATGATTTGCTTATCATTCTACAAAGGTTGACAAGGAAACAGTGGTAGTACCCAACACCAATGGAGTAAGTTAGAACAGAAATGGTTAGATATGGGTTATATATGGATTAGAATACAGGTATAACATGTATATAATATGAACGATTGCAAATAGGATGACATACATGTAGCTGAAATCCACACACAGTAAATTTGAATAGACATAGATTTCTTATAACACTGACCAATTCATGGTGCAAAATTATTTTAAAAAATCAACTTACAAAAGGTAATTACTATCAGATCATCAATATCTGAATATATCTTTTACACAAAACATAATTTCCTCCACAAACAAAATTGATGAACTGTTTACAACAGAAGTTTTCAATACCGGTATCCAGATTAAATTGTCATTTGCATATAAAAATATAATCGAGTACTCTAAAATAATAACATCTTGTTAAATTATACAAGCATACATTCATTATACACCCATCTTTATGGCAAGAGACTCTAGTAAAATGCAAAATCTCATGCATGTCATGATCTAATCATTTCACTATCCAAAACTATCCCTCAACCCCCCATGAAATTCACAAAAGTTTTCTTGTTCAACAGAATCAACATTTTAAACTTTCCCACAACATAGAGTATAGATTGAAATTCAGCAATGAACTAATGTTACATCTTCATAATACAGTCAAACCTGCTCTAGTGACCACCTGTCTACAAAGACCACATTTTTTGTTTCCCTTAAAAATGGTTTCTCATATGAAATATGTAATAAAGGAACCTTTCTGCAAAGACCACATCTTTAGTTTCCCTAAAAATGGTTTCTCACTGAAGTATGTAATAAAGGAACCTGTCTACAAAGACCATTTTTTGTGTTTCCCTTGGGTGGTCGCTTTAGACAGGTTTGACTGTACTGAGTGAGCATGTGGAAAGCATTGCACTCTCACCTTTTAGTCTCCCCGATGGTCTCATCTCGGTACTTGGTGATTCGGCCATGGCCTCTGCTATGGTCTGCTTGAGGTGTTCCTCGAGCATCTCGGAGCTTCTCTGCTGGCTGGGGGAGTTTTCTGGCCAGCTTCCACAGCTCACTTCTAGCAGGTTGGAGGCATGGTCAAAGGTACCTGTGGACAACAACAACAAATATCTATGAGGTTGGGTGGTGATCACAGCAAGATATTGGTACACTATAAAACATTTGTCAGGCTTGAGGTGTTCCTCTGTTGGGGGAGCTCTCTGGCCAGCTCACGTCAAACACGTTTGGGTCATGGTCACATTTCCCTATGGACAAATCTAGGAGATGATTATAGAGACAATAATACAGTATGATATATTAATTATGTTTTGAGGTGGTCTTCAAGCATTTCAGTGCTTCGTTGAAAGTACATGTAGGGATAGCCCTCTGGGTAGGTTGTAAAGCTGATCTCTAGCAGGTTTGAGGCAAATTCTAATGTACCTGGTGACCAATCACCCTTTTTTAATGCAAATCACACAGCTTTGCAACTGATGGACTATTCTATCTCTTGCTTGAGGGGTTGGTAGTGGGTTCGACTTTCTAATGCGCATTTCTCTTTCCTCATCTTCTCAACCCCACATGCAGCTCATTATTTTGTATTATTTTCTGTACCCCTGATCTCTCACTTCATTTTTGTAATTGTCTACTCTTTGTGTTTTGACCGTGTTCTTCTATCTTTGTCATGTAAAGTACTGTCTTGTCCCGTTCTCGTCTCTGTTGGTATCCTCCATTCCCCCTATTTTATAGTTCCTTTTGTAGTTACGAACTTGTTAATTTAATTACTCTTTATTCCTATTATCATTTGAGGCGTACACTATTGTACAAGCAATGCTTTTTAGTGGACCCCTCTGTTTCCAATATGTATTTCTACTTTTGTTGTAAATGTTTATAATTGATTTGTAATGTTTTGTTGGAAACATAAATAAATTGAAATTGAATTGAAATTGATCAATCATCAATTGATTCTTTTCCAAGGCTATGAGCCACTATTTACATGTATGTTACTAGTTTGTTATGAAGTAAGGAGAATGTGTCTTACCTGACCCGTACTCTATACTGGCCCCAGCAGAGCCCTCACAGCTCGACAACCGATGGACTCTTCCATCCCTTGCTTGAGGGGTAGGCAGTGGGTCTGAACGGAGGGGCTGGATCCTAAAAACAATACAAATAACAGAGATACATGTAGTATTTTACCATACCAAATTCAGATCACAAAAAATACTCTTAAAACATATTTTATGACCAAACCATCTTTCTTCCTCTTGCAATAGACCATGTCAAGATTGTAATTCCTGTAAAAACAGATAATCATTTTTTTGCAGTTTGCTGGATGGAATCGAGTGTGAATTACAATTTCCAATACAAAATCAAACATGGGAATTCCTGAAGATAACATATACCATAATTTATCCCAGACAGTCGCTCACTTCAATTCCTATTCCAGATGGAGTGAATAGGTATTTTGGATGGTTCAAAGATTTAAAGAAAGGGCAGTAGTAGACAGTTTTGACACTAAAAGTGAAGAGCATGTAAGGCATTTCATGTACATGTATTCAATGGATTTCAGGTATTTGATACATCTCACACCATGCATTCTACATATCTAACTAACCTTAGTGATCTGAGGTCCATGTCATCAATGGTCATATCCATGGCTGATCGGTTGGTCTCAAGACCTTCGGTCAAGAGGGCAGAGGAGCTTGATGATAAGATGGTGGTACTGCTCGGCTGAGGGACCGTCTTGAAGACAAACTGTGGTCCCATCCATAGATGGCGGTGTGGGCCAGCATGTGTCACCATCTCAACCTGGCATTAGGTGTAATAAGGTTATAGATAAATAGTTTTTGTTAGAACACAGAATTAAAAGAAAAATACCAGTGATGCCAATTTGAAGTAAAAACTAGGTCATCATTTTCAATCCTTGAAAAATCATATAGTGAAGAAATTTAAAAGAGAAATAGGTAGACCTACCTGTGATAACCAAGGCTCATCAAAGTCGGTATCTTGATTGCTACTATGAGCTGATGTCAGACTCTCACAGGATTCATTCCTAGGTAGTGATTGGTACAGAGATCCTGGGTGAAAGATAATAATATTAAAGTAGTGCAGAAGATCAAATGTGGGATGACATCATCTAAGCTTCCCACAAAGGTTAGCTGTACTTTTTGAAGCATTTTGTATTTCTTTGTATAATAAATAAATTACATGAATAAACCTAGGGATTCACTAAAGTCAACGAATCACTTGATAGAAATGCATATTTGGTTTATTTTTTATTTTTTGTTTTACAAGACTGCTATGAAACATGTGTATGCTTGTAAGTAAGCGACTAGGGGACCTACAGCGTGGCAGTCCTCTCCGAGGGAACTGGTAATGAGGCTTAATGCCTTACCAGAGGGCACCAGCGCATCGACTTGGCTTCAAATCCGTGACCTCCCGGTTACAAGACTACTGCTCTACCACTGATCTACCACGCCTTAATTCATACAGTCAAACCTGCTTTAGTGACCACCTGTATTGTCTACAAAGACCACCTGTCTACAAAGACCACATTTTTTGTTTTCCTTGAAAATGGTTTCTCATTAAAACATGTACTAAAGGAACCTGTACATGAAGACCACCTGCCTGTTAAGACCACTTTTCTTGTCTCCCTTGGGTGGTCACTATAGACAGGTTTCACTGTATATAAAAATTACTTGATAAACTGTAAATAAACCGTCGCTTACCTTGCGTGGCTGTGATAGACCTCTCTGCATCATCGCTGAATAGATGTACTAAACTATTGCCAGGTATTCTTAAGTTGCACTCGGGCGAGTTGAAACCCCTGTCAAGGAAAGTAAAAAAGAAAATACGATATGTTAAAATGTAATAAGTAAGATGTTTAATTTCAGTTGATTTTGAATTACATTATCCCCCCCCCCCCCTCCTGCTATCTTTTAACAATAAATTTGAAGAAACAATGAACATCTGCACAGTAATTTCATCATGAACATGAAAGGCATGTACCTTCACATTTTCTGCTGAGCTGTCATGCGTACAACCAAATTTAAATCAAGTCACCTCCTTTAAAGAGATAACCTCAGCATGATACACTGAGAGTATGTATCTAATAGTATGCACTAATGTCCTTTGGCAAGACATTGATCTACATTTGCCACACTCCACCCAGGTGAAGTAAATGGATACCTGGTAGGAATTTATTCCTTGAAACGCAGCGCGCGTAACAGCTGCACTGCTAAAGCCAGGGTAATTATGCTGCATTATTGTAGAGCGCTTAGAGACTTCTGACAAAAGTAAGTGTTAGGCGCTATATAAGCACTGTAATTATTAATTATTATTATCTATGTATCTATTTTCAATAATTTATTTTGTATATCTTTAAATGTAACAAATGTGCAATTCAGCCTTTGGTTGCTAAGCATTTGACGAATAAACTCTTTTTTAATTGAATTTTGAATTGAGTACTAACAATTACAACAGCCCACCCTTGCCTATTTTCTTATCCTTTTCTCCTATATGTAGACATTATGAGCAGGAACATTTATCTGCATTTCTAGTGTCCAAAGGTTTCCATTGAGCTACCTGGCTAGCAACGAACTCTAGAAGGAGCCTATCCACAACAAGCTCTGCTTTTCCATAGGCTCCGCCACTATATCTCTTAAGTTCAACTCAATGGACAATATTCTGAATAGTGTGTACCGGTATTGTATGTACATGTATATTATAACCATTTATTAATATGTTGTTACATTCTTTGTAAAATGAGATATTTTGGAAACCAATAAACTATCTATCTATCTAGAAGTGACAAATCAATCTCCTATCTTAAAAATAATATACAGAGGGGTCTTTAAAAAGGTTGAAATAATCCCTCGCTTCTTTTTTCTTTTCCCCCTCTGTGCAAAATTTTGAACAAACAAACTCTTTGTAAGAGAAAAATCTCCACTGTGATTTGATGCAAGCAAACCAGGCCCTATCTTATAATCTGAAAGCCTTGATTTGAATCGATAGTAACTCAAAATCAATCGCAATGCTGTACTAAAAAAAAAGCTAGTGACTAGACCCCTTGCAATCAATTTGGGTCAAACAAACTCTTTGTAAGACAGGGCCCAGCTCTGAAGAGGAATCCTCTCCTTCTTTGAGAAATGCTTAGCAGGACACATTAAGAGTACTCTACAAATTGTCCATCCGCCCCCCCCCCCCCAAACATAATTATCCTCCTCTTCCCCTTTTGCAGACAATTTAAAACGACAAAGAAAATAAACGTATTTCTAACCTTTGTAGTCTCCACTGTGCTACCATGCTGGCAACCAACTCTAGAGGGGAATCATCTCCTTTCTTGACACTAGCCGGTAGGGTAGCCTTGGGATCTAAGGTGTACTCTACCAGGAATCCATGGCATGACATGATGAAGAGGGAGGGTATTGGAGAAACTCTTGTAGAGTCTGTGACAAGAGGTTGATAGAGAGAGGGGATAGAGAGAGAGAGAGAGAGAGAGAGAGAGAGAGAAAGAGAGAGAGAGAGAGAGAGAGAGAGGGGGGAAGTGAGAGAGTGAGAGTCAGACAGAGAGAGAGTCAAAGAGAGAGAGTCAGAGAGAGTCAAAGAGAGAGAGATAGAGAGGGAAAGAGCAAGAGAGGAGAGAAATAACAGGTGAAGAAAAGGAACGCAGGAAGATAGAGATCGAGGATATAGATCAAGAAAGTGATCAAGAGAAAGTTCAAAAGAGATAGGATAGTGATAGGAGAGAAAAGAAGAGAGAGATAAAAGGACAAATCAAAATAAGATTGAATAATGACTCAACTAAGGCACATTCAAGAGAGTATATCATTTATATGCCATTTTATTGTCTATCAGAGGAAGTATCAGCTCTCTGAAATCTTCAACTTGATGACATCATCGTATGTGGAGTACGCATATTCAAAATAACTTTGCATTAATCATTAAAGCACCGCTCATCGCCTCACATATGTAGGTGAACCGCTCAGGTCCATATGTTATGTCGTCACTGATACTTCAGCAAATTTGACCCCTGTTGACCCGTAAGGGGTGCGGAAAATGAGGTTTTAATTTGCTTTTGTGCAATAATGAAAGTAAATACTTTTTGTTCCTTTATATTTGTATTCTACAATCAATTAAAGCACCGCTCATCGCCTCACCTATATAGGTGAACCGCTCGGGTCCATATGTTATGTCGTCACTGATACTTCAGCAAATTTGACCCCTGTTGACCCGTAAGGGGTGCGGAAAATGAGGTTTTAATTTTCTTTTGTGCAATGTGCGGTAGCTGTAGATAGATTTGACTATATTTGTTGGATAGGGTCTTTAAGATTTTCATGCAAGATATGGTTCCCCAAAAGTGCTTTCCTTAACACAACACTTCAACCAATTTAATTTTTCATGGACCACTGATACACTGCAAAAGACACAAAATGACATATAGCAATTATTCTTTTCTTTTCTTCATTATTTACCTTTCTCTCTGGGCACCTGGTTGGCTCCTTGCACATGGCCCCTCGACAGAGCAAAGCAGGTCGCCAGCCCCGAGTACTCGCTCGCCCCGGAGCTCTGGGTGGGTGCCTTGCCCCTGCCTGGCTTGGCGGTGCTAGCGGCCATGCTGGTGGCCACGGCTCCTAGGGTGGTGGATAGCTTGATCTGCTCTAGGGGTAGGATGGTGACGGTCTGGGGGTAGGGGGGTAGGCGGGGGTTGCCGATGGCTACGTTGAGGGTGTTGTTGTGGGGGATGGAGGCGATAGAATCCGGTGTGTGGAAACCTGTGGAGAAGATGATATACAGGTGAGTATGATACACAAGGAATTGTCTTTGGAAGGGATTGAGTATTTTTGTCTCAGATTCTAAACAAAATCCTGGATGTAGCTCATACTGCAATCATTATTATAAACCTTTAGGTCAGTCAGGAATCCCATGACGTTAACAAGCCGACTGCAGGTTTGATTATCAAGATATTTATGATTGGAATTAGAAATGTCAAAAACAGTTTTCCCAACGGTTTTTATAACACTACAGTCTATTGGGGAAAATGTTGCGAAAAAGGTCCGTCTTATACACAGAGATTTGCGGTAGTGGAATTATTCTGTCCACGCACACACAAAAAAGAAGATATTTGGTTCGTTATGCAAAATTCGATTTTTAAATCTCACTTTTTTCTGTAGGTGTGAATGCCCCTATTGAGAAAAATAGAAATTTACATTCATAATGCAGCTGGCAAAATTCACAGAAGGACTTGAAAAAATAGCATTTGTGACCAGAGAACTTTTCACATGGACTCACCTGATGAAGTAGGACTCTCTGATAAACCGTGTACGGGACTCCATCTTCCTGTCTCTACGAGCTCCTCTAGACCAGCACTCTTGTGAAACCGACTCTCTTTGTTGACTATTTTCTGAGATGTGTGTGTTCTTGCACATACATGACCTAGGCATACAAGAGAAAAACAGACATTAATGGTATTTTTGTACACAACAAACAGGAGAGTTATCCACTGACCAAACTGCCAATTTGAGCTTCGCATAGAATTAGCGATCTCATATTTCAAACATTAAAGATAAAGGTGAGTTCTGGTAATGCGATTGCATTGTGAAAGAAAAGGTGTGGAATGGATCAGAAACAGTAGATCATGTACCATGTAAGTATTGGTGTGCACTGCAAGGTTCTGGAGTCATCAAAATCATAATAAATTTGGCTGAGTCTTGGTAAAGTAACAAGCACTGTACACAGAAAGCTATATATGGGACAACACACATGGTGTTGGGGCTAGTACTACCTTGATTTCCTTGTCTTTCTATGCTCATTACTCAGCCAGTATAAATTTTCTTCCAAAATTGTTTGGCACATGTCATTTATTAGTAATCTTGAACATTCAGTGTAAGTTTCGTTTGATTCTGTGAGAATTAATTTTCATTTTTTTTACCAGAACTGGAGTTTATCTTTAATAACTTTTTTTTTATCATTGGTCCAATTTATTTTAAACTGTCGCCATTTTCCTTATCTTATTTTTCTGCTTCCGTACAAATGAACATATTACAAGGGTTGGATTGCCCTTAAAGGCATAACAATGTTAAATCTGAGATGCGTGGCCCTACGTGTTATCAGTGTCTATGATATGGAGTAATATTGGAGCCCTCAAAAAATTGCGCTTCAAAATGATCTTGAAGTGCCTCAAAAAAGTAAAAATCTGTGAGTGACCGGTTTTACCATACTCATTTTCCCCTAGACTGTAGTATGTGTTATAAAAACCGTGAATGAAATTTCGATTTCCAATCATAAATATCTTGATAATCAATCGGACAGGCGATCGGCTTGTAAAAGTCATGGGACTCCTGACTGACTAAAGGTTTAAAATTATAATTGCAGCGTGAGCTAAATCCAGGACTTTGTTTAGAATCTGAAACAAAGATACCCAATCCCTTTAAAGATACAATTTGAGAAGGTTCTTACCTCCATACGGAGTGATAGGAAAGAGATGAGTAGTCTCTCTCATAGTACTCACAGCCACCCAGCGGCTGTCATTTGTGAAGGATACATGCTGCACCTGGAAATTAAACAAAAATCTTAAAAGTCTTGATAGCAGCACTGGCTAATATTCTTGAAAGTGGAGTAACTGAAGGTCCGGTTATAACCTGGAATAAGTGTACTATCAATTTAGTACTACATATTCATTATGTGCCAAGTTTCAACCTCCTAACTATGTGCAAATCATGATTAATGTGTAGAACACACAAGAAAGGGGGAATGACCAGATAAAATCATATCCCCCCTACAGAAAAATTAGATAAATAAATAAATACACAAAAAATAAATACATAAATAAATAAATAACTGTGATGAACAATATTACCAAATGAACCCTTTCCAATCTAACTGAAATTTGATTTGAGAAAAAAATGCAATTCCTGATGAGGTTCAAAACATTAAAAGTAAAACTGAAACTGAATACAGCGAGCCTTCTGGTCTTATATAGGGTCCAATGGAAATCAAAATCACATATTATTGTGACTAGCCCGACATAAGTACAACTCACAGCTAACTTGGCATTCTCCCTACTGGGCACACATTACCATGCAATTAAGATTTCACTACTGTTATTACATTTAGCTATGAGAAGAGAAAGCACAGAAAACGGGATAATGACAGGAACAGTTGAGGGAAAGAGAAGCAGAGGGAGACAGCGCATCAAATACACTGATAAGTTCATTGGGCTGACTGGTAACAGAAGCAACGTCACATTGCAAAGAACCAGAGATAGAAATAGATGAAAAGCCTTGATAGTCAATGTCAGGAACAGACAAGGCACCTAGCAAGCAGACAAGTATCAATGATTGTAATTTCGTTCAATATCATGACTTTGGATCATATACCCCGCAGGAGGTTACAATCAAAGTCAATTAAAGGCTATCTGTACTAGTTTGGCCAGGAGGGATCAGACCTTCCAGCGAGGTCACTGGCAGGTGGTTTTCTCATCAAATAAGCTCTCAATTAACATTTTTTTAAAGGGGACCATGGGGGAACCAAAGGCTACCGCTTAGGCATTGTTGGCCATATAGAGGGCGCAAGTAGCTACAAGTAGTCAGAGCCATCTATACACAGAGTTTGGCCTACTTGGTTTCACTGGGTCACAACATGGCGTATATTCTTTTGTTTTGTGCTTGCCCAAAAAAGCAGTAGTTGCCATATTGTGTCCAACTCGATCCGGGTTGGCCAAACTCTGTGTATAGATGCCTTTGCGAGTAGTGCAGTTCCCCTTTTAAGCGCTTACCTTTGCAGCAGTGTCCCCTCTGTAGAGGATATAAAGATGATGCACAGCCCCTAGGCCTGATCTACAGGGATGGCTCGTGATGCGGAATATGTGAAAGACATGACCCTGGGCGCCCGCCGTGAACAGTAGCCTGCCGCTGGGGTCAAAGGTCATCGCCGTGACAGGTTCGTTGATGTGGGCCTGGAAGTGAGCTACCATGCCGTCCCCGGGGCTGTCGTCTGTGACGTTGAACTGTAGAAAGGCAGTAACGACATGACAGGGGTCAGTGTAAAAGAATTTGAACAGGAGGGGGCCTAACACTGATCCTTGGGGTACACCATAGCTGGCCAACTGCGTAGATGATTTGACACCATTATTTTACATACAGCATCATAGGCAACAAAGTTGAAATTGGGGTCATCAGTTTGTCAAGTTGCTTTGATAACACATATCTTTTAGGTTGGATACAGGGTTTGGGCAGGTATTTTTAAGGAAGAAAAAACCATATGCCTGTTTTTCAAAAATTAGGCAAGCAGATTGTTTAGTGAAGATTGTTTATAGTTCAGGGTAAGTGTCATACATTTAATAAATTTCAGCCACGTGATTGTCTGAAGGGTCCTTGGGTCAGTTTTTTTCAGATTGTAGTTGCCTGATCGGTGATGTAGTTTCAAGGGGTCAATAGTCCCAGAGATAGTTGTCCTGGTGGTCATTGTCTGTGAAAAAAAACTTGTAAGTTAGGTAGTCCTTCTGGGGGGTGTTTCACAAAGATCCTAAGTTGAACTTATCTCTAATTAGGACTTAACAACTATGGAAAGCCGTTAGCATCTATGAAAACATATTGTAAAAGTTCTTTTAAAAGGGCATAGAATGTTGATTCAAATCATTCATATTTTCTATTATCAAGGAGATTTCTTGTTCTTGATATAATACTTGAATTCTCACTTTTAAATATACTTTATTTTAAGGCTACAAATGGCTCTCCATAATTTTGAAGTCCAACTTAGAGATAAAGAGAAGGTTGAGTTCTGGGAAGAGGTGAAAAATAATTTGTGAGCGTTAACATTGTATTTTGTAAGTGTGGAAGAACATCAGATAAAAAATGTTCCCTGAAAAGCATGGCTCTTCAAATGCCTTAATATTCCAGATATGGCATGTAACATCATAAAAATCGGGACAGAATTTTACGCCAATGTGGTAAACATACCTCCCCTTCCAGCAAGGTTGCATCCACCACAGTCACCACTCCGGGGGTACCCTGCCTGTGAGGGGGGCTACTGCTACTAGTCTTCTCCCCCGGACTCTCCCCGGGTGACCTAGGGGGCGAGTTGGAGAGCTTGGCAGAGGCGTACTTCCCCAGGGACTCGCTGAACACAGAGATGCCCTTTGTGATAGCCTGCATGGAGAAAGAAAATTTATTATGAAAATGATAAGAGTTGTGAAAATTACTTGTGGTCTCATACTCATGACGACGAATCGAACGCACCAAAGGAAAGCAAATCCCACAACATGAGCTCTAGAATGCATGTGTGTATGTGTGTAATTGGGTTTTTACAGACGTGTATCAATCAGATATGATTATTTAAGTCTGGGGACCGACCTTTAATGACACCATCAGAAAGACTTAATTGCATTAAAATTGTGTTCAGGCATATTGAATTGTATGTCTTGTAAATTGTGATTTTACCCTGACTCCCAACCAAAGAAACCAATCTACAATTATATCTCAATATGATGCATTTTATATGCCTTCCACACCAGTCAGAATAGTCTAGTATCAAAATGGTTCAAAGCACTGGTATTCTTGGCTAAGGCATAGTTTTCATTAAACTTTTTTGTTCTATTTTGGTTGCCGGCCAGGCAATGTAGAAATCTACTATAGGTGGGAAGTTCAACATTTAGTACTCAAATAGAGTACTGCACAGCATTCACATGATGTTGTTAATATGGCAATAAAGACGGGACTAATAAGTTTGCCTTGAGGATTTTAGGTGGTCCATGGCACCCATGCATCTGCTAATTCCAAGTGCAGTAAAGTAAGAATCTCAAAGCAACTAGTCTATTTGATGCTCCATCCTTGTCATACACTTATATCTATGTTTTTCATTTCAAATATCCATCATTAGTTAAAGAGGTTTATTCAAGAATCTCAGATATAATAACAATAATAATCCATTCTTATTTTGCAGATAACACATAATGGTATAATGTCCCTATGCGCTTCCAAAGAACTTTTGAAATTGTTACCTTAGCTTTAGCTTCAGCAGCTCTTATCTGCACACAGTGCTTTTCCAGAAATAATCCTACCAGGCAACCATTTATCTCACCTGGGTGGAGTGTGGCAAAAGTAAATTACGTCTTGCCATAGGACATCAGCATTGTGGCAGGGATTTGAACCCCGTACCTTGAGATTCAGTCAGGAGACTTATCCACTGGACCACAACACCTCTATTATATTACGTTCTCTCCTTACCTTAGCTGCATGAATGACTGTAGCTTTATATGACTTGGATGCGTCTCTACAAACACCACCTCCAGACTGATGTGATGGTATTAACTACAGGTGAAGACAGACAACAAGGAAAACAATGTACTAGTAAGTTTACACATTATGAGAATGTGATTGAGATTTATTATGACAGTGAAACCTGTCTATAAAGACCATCCAAGGGAGACAAGAAAAGTGGTCTTTATAGGCAGGTGGTCTTTATGTACAGGTTCTTTTAGTACATGTTTCAATGAGAAACCATTTTCAAGGGAAACAAAAAATGTGGTCTTTGTAGACAGGTGGTCACTAAAGCAGGTTTGACTGTATTCATATGCAATTATTATACACTTTAGACTCTGTTCAAATAACAATGCTTTGAAAATGTGTAGTAATATGCAACTTGTGAACTCTTGTTCCAAATTTCCTTCTAACACATATAACAAAGTATGGCTTTGATCCCCAAGATATTCAGAGAAGTATTCCTGTATGCATTTGGCATTGTTTTGTACAGAGAGCAAAATGTATTTGTATTAGCTTCAGTAATCATCACATTCTTTTTGTTGCTATCATACATTGGCACCAGGAAAGAGAAAACTATCATCCCGTCGTCATATCAATAAAAAATAAAAGGCATTAAAACATGACATGCAAAAATTCAGTCAAAAAGACGTTCCTACCCTTTCTTTAATTAAATTGAAGATTGATTACCCCTCCGTGACCTCTGGAGAAACCCAATGACCACTGGGAAAACCCTATATGATCCATAGGAAAAGTCTCAATGACACATAGGAAAACCTTATACACCTGGAGAAATTCCTACATGTATATACTAACCAAGACTTAGAACCCTTGACTTTGGTCCATCCTTATCCCAGCATTGCACAGCTTTACTTTTACATGTACATTGTCTTGCAAAGATCATTCTGAAGCGCTGAGTGTGAAAGGGTCTTAGTTTCCCTGGTAACACTGCTTATGCAACATGAAACGTATATGGCTCCAGGGAGGCCTGAAAAGGTAATCAACGTTTTTGTCACAACCTTTTTGTCAGCTAGGATCAGTTTGAGGTGCTCTGTGTGAAAGGGTCTTAGTTTCCCTGGTAACACTACTTATAAATGGTTCATTGGGAAGCCTGACAAGGTAATAAACCTTTGTGTCAGCTTGGATCAGTCTGAAGTGCTCCATGTGAAAGGGCCTTATTTTCCCTGGTAACATTACTTATGTAACAAGAAAGGTATACAGTATATGGTTCCTAGGGACCCTGGAAAAGAAAACCTACCTTTTTGTCGGCATACGCTAGCCATCTCGTCCCCAGAGCTAAGGGGTTAATGTTGGGAGGACCTGCTAGGTAGCAGCTTGTAATGATGAAACGATGCTTGAAGGACGCTGCATCAAAAGCTGCTATCTTCTCTTGTAATGCCACTATCATTAATCTGGATAATAGAGAGAGAAAGAGAGTGAGAGAGAAAGAGAGAGGGAGGGAGAGAGAGAGAGAGAGAGAGAGAGAAGGGGTTTACAAATGTTGTTACAGATTGTATGTTTGCTGTTTATTTGTTTGTTTTTTAATTCTATATAATATGGAATTCAAATGTTTATCCTGGAATTTTAGACTTGTCATAAGCTTGATTATTATCCTCGGTAATCATCATACTATCATACTAAAGTCAACATCATTCCCGTTTTTATTCAAAATCAAATTGTCATCATCATCAAAAACAACAATAATATAAATATAATGGTCACCAATATCATGCACCTGCTATCACCATCTTCATACATTATCATTACCAGCGCTTTTGTCAAATAGTGAACTCATCACCAATCACTATACTATCATCAACATCATCATTACCACTACTACCATAATCATCATCACCTATATCTCCATCACCATAATCATCTTCATCACCATAATCATCTTCATCAACATAATCATCTTCATCACCATAATCATCAGGATCATCATCCTCCTCTTATTTTTTAGTGTTATTTTCATCACCATCATTATTCCCACCATCATCATCATCATCATCATCATCAACATCATCGTCGTCATCATCATCATCATCAAAAACACCCTCCTCCACCTCCTTCTTATCATCATCATCATCATCATCATCATCATCATCATCATCATCATCATCATCATCATCATCAAAAACACCTCCTCCATCTCATCATCATCATCATCATCAAGACTATTCATTATATCAATCAGTTCACAATGTGCATTGACTATTTCACTCACCTCTTGTTACAGACTATATCAACTACTGGTGTTTTAAAGGAGACCGCATGGACCTGCTCGTTCGTCTTCAACGAGCGGATAGTCACTGAGCAGAAGGGCTGGCTAGAACTGTAAGGTTTTAAAAAAAGAGGAAAATAAATCATTGTAAAAAATAGGTTAGAGAGAACATTAACTACGTCTCATTCTACTCATTCTACTGAGGAAAAAAATCAGAGCAAAAATGTCAAGAATTGCACTTAAAAAGCTCTGGTTATTTCAATTTTTGTACATGTTAGGGTGGACATATTCATTGTCCTAAATGAGCATGGGTAAATATGAACACATTAAATTTAATTATTTGATTTTATTATTTTATTGTTAACTGTCATACAAGTTCTTTTGTTGATGTTTTGTATAAACACTTTCCAATTCATTTGCCACTGACATATTACAATTGATTTGTATGATTACACCAAATCCAATTTCCAATTTATTAGAGCTTTTCCAGCTTACATGTATACATGTACTATATCCAAGTGATATAATACATTGCCTTTTCATACAGCCTACGCAAGGATCAATCATCACTTCTTCAATCTGTATTCATCTTTTTATGATCTCAGTAATCCTAATCCTATCAAAGGGGATTATCGGCTTCCACTTCCACATCCGGTTCTGATTTTCTGGTCCATAATATTACAGGATTAGACTACATTACAGCAGCATAACACAGGCAGGCAGGAAGCGATCGGTCTTGACACAAGCACTTCAGTTAGGGATGATTTGAGGGATGAAAAAAGGCAAGTAATTTTTTTGCGACAATACTTAACAGGCTGAAGCTTATAAGTTATAGAATATTTAAATATCATTTCTGCATTTGCAGTCAATGATAAATATGTAAGATTCACTTTCTTCTCATCACAGACTATTTTCTGGTCATATTTACTGGTCAGTTGCTATCATATCCCTAGTCAAAAATATGTCCCTTTGAAAAAATATGTATTTTGTTGCAATGTTTTTACTATTTATTTCCAATTTTCATGTGAATATGCCCTATTTTTAAAAACACTATTGTTTTAATTGAAAAAAAGTTTTTAAATAGCAAATGACCACCTATTTTTTTCCAATTTTCGAGGAGTTGGTGGTTCGATAACTATTTTCTACCTTTATTTCTTGCTGTTTTTTCCCTATTTTTTTCTCGACTTAGATTTGTTCTCACCAGATTTTGTTAATTTTTTTTTACTATGCTTCTGGAATTTGATTTTTATCGGTCAAATAAAAGAGTCATGTCATATGCAGATCAATAATTATTATTATGGCAAAGTAGTGGGCCGTTTGACATCAACAATATTCACTGCAATACAATGTATGTATTGTTTGGACAAGTTGTGTGTAACATTTGATATAAAAATACTCAATATGGCCAAATGCAACAGTGCCATCCTTAGTGCTGAATCTTACTGTATAACTATTCCGCTTAATTCCAGGTCTGTAGTTTCTAGAGGAAACCAACCCCTTTCACTTTCAATCTCCAAAACAAATAAATTCTTTTTACTGAGCGACCAAGAACATGCTAGGGAAACAGTTCTACATTTGCTAATTTCATACTCCCAACAACATACACACCATCAATTATACAGCTGTTGCTCTGTAATTTTTCCTGGCTGAGTTTTTCCTTTAATTTCAATCAGAGATCATAAGCTAAACTCCTCATACCAACAAAATTCAAAATTGTGGAATAGCCTGCTGAAAACATATAGAAGAAATAATCTGCATTTCTCTTCTGTGAGTACCATTAAAGAAATTCATAAGGTCTCCATTAGTGCTGTAACATCACGGACATCTCCAATTCCGTTTAACCGCCTGTCAAAAACCGGACGGTTTTCGGTTAAACGATTTATTAAAAAAAGCCGTGTGAAAAAGCAGGAAGGTGATTTAACTGAAGGCGCCGATTTGGGCTTGTGAACTAGTCACAAATAATAGTAACAATGTCGTTTTAGAATAATGTGTAAGATCATTAAAGTAAATTAAAAACAGTAGAGGACCTAGGATACAACCTTGTGGTACACCATGTGTTAAACTTGGATGAATATATATTGAGATCTATTACAAAGATTACTTTCAAACCAAGATGACAGACAAATTGGAGTGTTGTTCTAGTTTCCAAGTGGTAAGTCATCACACCGATTACTGAGCTAGGAGACATTGCCAGGCATAGTGCCAGGTGGAGGGGCATAAATCGAAACTTTAAAAAATAAAATAAAATAAAATTAAAAAAAAAAAATATTAAAAAAAAAAAAAAAATTATTAAAAAAAAAAAAAAAAAAAAAAAACGGGAAAACGAAACCGTCCAATTGAAAACGGAATCCGCCATGGGCGGTCGGATACCGGACGGTTAAACGTTTGACTACAGCACTAGTCTCCATTAAAATCTTCATACCAAAAACATGAATGGACCCACAATGGCCCAATATCTCTTACAATGAGCTATGCGTACACCATGTTTGGTATCTTTTGCCATATAATGCTTCAATACGCAGATGTGGATTTTTTACTAAATTTGATTAACTGTAAAGGAATTAATGAACTCATGTTTTGGGACAATTTGAGCACATATACACGTACATCTCCTATACAACTATAGTAAATGAACAAAAATATATCCCATCTGCTTCAAAATGATCAAAACCACACAATCTCTCTCTCTCTCTCTCTCTCTCTCTATCAACGTGACACCAAAATATTTCATCCTTGAGACAATTTGCGTGAAGATGTGTTTTAACTAGGACAATAGATGTACATGTATGTATGTCCCCATCGGTCCATTTTAAGGGGGTCACTTAGAGTTTACACTGTAGGTGCTGCATGAGTTCCTGTGAATACACAATGGAACATTTCTATAGGGAGCGGGATTCTTACAACAAAGATAAATCCAAATTTGCAAAATGCAATGCTGCAAAATGTTATGTTTAACTGGAAAAAATTCTAGAAAAATTCCAATCTGCAATTTGTTCAATCTGCAATACCTTCATGTGTAGCCATACATGCATATAAGTCATTAGGACTTCTGTCGTAAAAGTTCAGAAACCTGAAAGAATTTTATTAGAATTCGTATAATATCCATTTAGTCTAATGTTGCATGGTAGTGCCATATTTGATGAAAAAAGAAACTGCACAAATCTTAAGAAATTATCTAGTTTTAAGAAATTCAAATTCTCCACAAGTCCAAGGTAATATATTTACAAGAAAGATATAGAAATAAATTGCATCAAATCCTCACTATGTCTTTATACAGATAAATCAAGAGTGAAAAGCTGAGGTTACGTCCCTTTTTAATTATGACTGGGCAATCAAACTCATGTCAGGCTATAAAATAATTATCCATTATAAACCATCGGCCTGCCTTTAAAAAGTACAATTAAAGCGATACTGAACTGATGAATTTTCAGCCCTAGTGTACTGTTTATTGCACAGCGCCATCGCATGGTCAACTTGCCAAATGTCGTAATCCAATACCTAATTTTCACTACGCAGACTGGGGACTCGATGCAAGAACCAACAGCACAGTCGGGGAAACAGCAAGTTATGGGACCATACCGCTACAGCTGACCTGAGATGGCGCCAGAGGGGAATTTGCGATAGTGCTTCTCGTAAAGTATGGCTTTAAAGGTGCTTCTTCCAGTTTTCCATACTACCTTCCTACGTATTGTGTTTAAATATATTCTTGATTCTTGGAAGCTTTCATTGCATGTGTCTCTAAATTATTCAAACACCATCCCTAAAGCTGTATAGCTATACGACATGGATAGCTATCGATCATGACTTCTTATTCGCACTTCAGAGCAGACCAAAAACAGGGCAAAGCAAAGTGGAGGGAACTCATGATCCTCATCATGAATTTTTAACGTAGGATTATATAGGAAATGTAAGTGTTGTCTGGAAAGGAGAATGAAAGGCTGATTTCAATAATACAAGCAATTCAAAACTTCATTTTGTGTTCAAATTGAATTTCAGCTGCTGATTTATCAAAAGTTGGATATGTGTTTAAGTTTTATTTAAGTTCACATAGGATAAAATACAGAGTAGCTCCAGAGGGAAACAGCTAGCCCCTCCTACGACCCCCCCCCCCACCCCCTCTTTTTCCTCTGTCTGTCTGTCTGTCTGCCTTGTCTTGTCCGTCTGTCTCTCTCTCCCTCTCTCCCACTCTCTCTGTCCGTCTCTCCTCCTCTCCCCATCTCGCTCTCTCTCTTTCCCTCCCCTCTCTCCGTCTCTGTCCCTCTCTGTCTCCCTCTCTGAATTGCATACTCCTAATCTACCATACATCTTTGTTTCCCAAGATGCTGTGACCCATGCTGATCTTGACAATTAAATTAACCCATTTTCACACTTTCCATTCCTCCGCCCCTCTCTACACATAGACATACCCTTGAAAGCCAATATGCACTGCGAGACTAGACTATCAGCATACTGCATAGACTCTGTACTGTAGCTGCTCTGGACACAGCCAGAGACCGACAGAACTAGGCTCTGCTCAAGGCTTTAGGAATTGCAGTAAAGTGTCAAAATAGAGTCTGTTCTTGCAGACTACCTCTTCGACACCTCCCATCTACTGTTTTTCGACCTTCTTTTGCTCATCTCCAATAATCAAATAAGATCCTCCTGGTTATAGTACCTATACAGTATATAATTGCATTATAGCACACAAATTCTTAATTGAAGTGTCAAATTAGACACTGTGATTGTAAACTGTTTGCCTCCCCATCTCCTCCTCGTCTACCATTTTCATCTTCCTGGTGAGGCCAGTAAAGAGTCTACAGCAGCAAAAATAATGTGGTCTTTTAGCTTTATAGAGTAGTTCATTTTTGTAGTTATTATGGTGCCAAGATCTATTATGTATTATTATAAACGTTAATTTTCTTCTTGATATGTACATGTGTCTAACTGAATATTTTCAGATTGTCAACGTCTTATTCCCTACCCCTGTTGTCTTGTGCCCGCTGTGTGCTGTGCCTATTGTTGATGTGCTGTAGTCTTCTATTATTTCTCATATTTTCTCTTTTCTCCCGTCTTGTCTAGTCTCGTCTCTCGTTTTGTAGTTGTTGTTGTTGTCGTTGTTGTGTGTATCAACGAAAAAAATACACGGTGGCGACGGGCGATTCGCCCCCTAAACCTCTGAAATCGCCACGGTAAAAATCAAGACGAGGGCGAAAAAAAAACAATATATCTTGAAAAATCGCCCCCGCCATAAATTGATATTCCCTATGAATTAATAAACCAATTTATTGATGTGTCTGAGTGAAATCTCCGTTCCAACTACCAACTCCAAAACTAGAAACTTCCATCAACATTTTAAAAGTTTTGTGAGTTGCAGCGGATCGGCGGTCGTACCTAGTAGCTAGATCTACAGCGGTATCCGCCTGCCTGCGCCTAAGCTCCCCGGCGGCCGGACAGGCCACCGGCCCCGATGTAGTTTCGTGCACAGCATGAATGCATACGCAGTTCGCACACGTTCACAATACACAGAAACTCAGCTCCAGCGCGCGCCCGCACGCTCCTTGTATGAAGCAAATAAGTATTTGCGAGTGACGAGAGCTCAACTGCTAGCGACCAAATTGGTACGTAATATGTTTATTTAGTCTTTTTTCTGGCCCTAATTTTTATCATGGACAATGCAATCCCATTAAAAAAAATGTTATTCCGTCTAAAATTGTGCTATTTATAAGTTAAAACCATTAAATGCGAGTATATTTTTACTGTTGTCCCACATACTGATATATTTGTAATAACGAAACGTGCAAAATCAATGCCGGATTTTTTCCTGTAAAATCGGTATAAAGCAAGTTTCGTACACAGAAATTGAATTTTGTTATAAAAAAAACGTAAATAAATATATAAAGGATGTTCCTCCTCCTCAGAATCTTTCTTGCAACTGTTTAATTAAATTAAATTATTTATATACGATCGATGCCAGGCCAATTGTCATGAATGATGACATCAATTTCTGTCTACGAAATGAAACTAGCTTTGGCTTGGCCTTTAGAATTAAAGTCTATAAAAAAAAATAAGGCCATATGATTTTGCATGTTTCGGCATAACAAATAGACCCTACATCGGTATGTGGGACAACAGTAAAAATATTTACTCACATTTAATGGTTATAAATGGTCTAAATAACACAATTTTAAAGGGAGTTGGTCTACATTTTTTTTTAATGGGATTGCATTGTCCATAATAACAATTAAATTTGGGACAGAAAAAAAGACTAAATAACATATTATCTACTAATTTGGTTGCTAGTAGTATGATGGCTAAGGAAAAACACAACTTATTGTTACAGCTTACAATATGGCTTTAAGGAAGTAGCCCCTTGGTTTTTTTTTAGGCAATGGGGAAAAGTAGCCCCCATAAAAAAATTAATTCCTAGCCCGCGTGTCAGTGATAATATTTTCTTAGGATATGAAAAACGAACAGTTAAACAAAACACTCCTTTTGACAAGTTTTAGTTACATGTATATGTAAATCATGAAGCCACACGTTTAACACAAAGTGAATAAATCATGGGTATCTGAATGTCTGCAATACTCTACATGACATATGTACGCTACAATTGTATCTATATTTGCCTTTGCTTAGAATTTAATTAGGTAAAACCGCGTTTAAAAAAAATACAACCTTTAAAAAAAAAAAGCCCCCCTAAGCTCCAAATAGCCACCGCAAAATAATTAAGGGGGGCTATTTTTTTAAGGGAAAATCTGAAAAGAGCCCTCGTAAAAAAAAAAGTAATTTTTTGGTTGGTGTGTATGTACACTTCTTGTGTTTTTTTTATACCCCCTTTCCCTATTGTATTCATAGGTAGTCACAAATATCTATTCATCATGTTTATCCGGCTCAGAGGGGACCCTAATAATTACAAGCTCTGCTTTTACCAGGGTCTCCTCGTCTTTCTTTTAGCTAACTTTGTTTTTATCATTGCCATAATTTGTTATTTTGCATTGTAAATGTGTAATGATCTAATGTTATGCTCTAAATGACATTTGAAAGAAAGACAAATAAATGACTTATCTTATCTTATCTTATAATTATATTAGCATTGTTTCTATGGTTTGCAACTTTGTGCAAAAGGTTATACCTAATTATTCCAATGTTTTTCTCATTTCATTCTCCACCGTCCTGTTGTCAAATATTAATTCATGTACATCCACAACAGGATAGCTCTATCCAAATTAGGTTGTGCAGATACAATTTATTTTACAGTTATTTTTCACTTCCGATGCCAATTCAATTCCAGTCAAAACAGAAAAATAATTTACCCCTAATGGCCAAGAATCGGTCGGATTCGGGTCAATTTGAGTCAGCGTAGCGGAGTGAGTGAGGTACGGTTCAATTATTATTATCAATTAAGATCCTTTTTTTCATTTTGTTCTCTTTAATTTTTGTATGTTCTATCTTCCCCTTGGAGTTCTTCTATGTATGATGCAGTTAATTTTATGTGATTTCATCTTTTGCACTTGTGCGCAACTGCGCATTGATCTGAGCAGTTGATTTCAAATAGATTTGGCACATTACAAATCTTATATATTATTGTAACTAAATGTTTAATATTCTCTCCTCTTGCTTTTGAGCACTTTCTACTTTTTTTGCATAAAGGGACTATCGTGACAAGACTGCCTTGGTCTTTTATGGTACCCTTGATTCCATGTACAGTCAGACCTGTCTAGCGATTGCCCAAGGGAAACACAAAAAGTGGCCTTTGCAGACAAGTGGTCTTTGCAGACAGGTGGTCTTTGTAGACAGGTTCCTTTAGTACATGTTTCAATGGGAAACCATTTTCAAGGGAAACAAAAAATGTGCTTGTTGTAGACAGGTGGTATTTGTAGACAGGTGGTCACTAAAGCAGGTTTGACAGGTTTGCTTTGCATCTGTGCTGTATTTCTGATTTGTTTGTGTATAATGCTTTTAGTGGATTAAATCAAATTGAACTTGAAATTACTATTATCATTATTCTTGCGCTTACCTAGCGCCATCACAAATGGCTATCAACGGTCTCTTGTCCTGATAATGATGATGGTTCTTGGAATGTGTAGGTGTAGGTAGAATACGGAGAATCCTGACGGGGCCTTGCCGTAACGAGAGCACTTCTTCTGCGTCTCCATTCGCCTGATCAAACAGAAAGAGAGAGAGAGAGAGGGAACGAGTGAGAGAGATACATTGAATGAAACATGCTGAAGGGGCAGAGGAAAGGGCCGTCACTTTTGCAAGTCAACGAACCGGGTACAAAATATACATTTATGTACGCACTGTGATTGAATTACGAATTATCAGTATGCGTTTCTGTTGATGCGGATTACTTTACATGACATTTGCAGACATTACATGAAAGGGATCATTGAGGATGTGCTCAAACCCCTTGAAAAGAGGCTCTACACGAACATGGATCTGGTACACAATTTCACTCCAAACTGCTAAATTGTCAAAATACTCACAGGGGCTTGGTACATACTGTACATGTATACATGGACCCCAGCAATTTTCTTTGGACCCTCATTTATAAAAAAAAAAAAAGCACTGTCTAACAATATAATGTAGTTCTATATTTTCACAAATTAATCATTTCCTCTTGAACTTCTCATGACACATGTACCTTTACCTGTTTCCCTTATCAATATTGTTTTAAAGGAATTCCAAACGATGATTTCCTGAGAAAATATTTTGATTGAATAAAAGTGATATTATATATTTACATAATATGTTTTCATATAGTACAATGTCAGCTTCCTTAATTCTCCTCCTTCGCACACGCCATCCCCCCCCCCCTCAATTCTCTCTCTCTCTCTCTTTCTCTCTCTCTCTCTCTCTCTCAAGTCGAAGACAAGAAAGAAATGCATCACATCGAGGGACAGGTGCACATGATCAAACCTTGCTTTCATGGGGTAATGTTTACAATCCTAATGCATTCTGTAGAGTGAAACATTACTCCATATACTCACCACATTCACGTCGTAGTCGTAGTCTACATGTAAATGTACTTAACCAAACATGTAATAGACTCGACAACAGGTATTCATGTATTTTCTAGAAAATACATTATTGTAACAAGGGTAGATTTCGAGGACTATGGCATTCTGGACCCCCCCCCCCCCCCCCCCCCCCCCCCGTTTTTTTTTATTGTGTTGCCTGTCAGTACTTGTTTTTGTCCCAAATCAGCAACAAATAAATCTGATGCAGTTTGGATGTTCGTCTTTCTTTTTCTTTTTTTCCCTTTTTTTTTTGGGGGGGGAGGGGTGCTTGCCAAAATTTGTGGATTATTGGACCCCCCCCCCCCCTTACAAAATCCTGGAGCCGCCACTGCCAATGCAAATGGTTGAAATCCCTTGCCAAAATGTCCTCAGACAAGGCATTCTATTTTTAACAGTCATCTCCATTGATCAATGGTGAATGGTACCTGGTAATATCTCAAAATGCATAAAGAGCGATGACATACAATGTACATTGTAGGTGGTTGAAACTTTTAAAATGAGGCTAATCCTTGATAAACCACTTACAAAGCCTACAAAATACAAATACAATTCCATTTTTATTCTCATCGTTATGAGAATAAACTTTTCCCTTATTCATCAACTCAAAACAAAATTCAGAGGTGTTATTTCTCACGTTTCTATACATGTACTGTATATGCCACAATGATGAACGAAATTTTACACGAACTCAACAAACAAGTGGTATGTCAAAATGTTAAGTAGTACATGAAACATTCAATTGATGCCCAAAGGATCCCCTCCCTAACACAAATATACGATTGAATTCCATTCCAATCAATCAATATTGAATGTTCTGGCACTTGTGTAAATTTATGTGCATGCTTAAAAACCGAAGCTGCACATTCATGTGCAAACTGTCTAATGTGATCAATTACACCAGTGTGAAGCAATAAATTAGATGCAGTCATCCCCATTCATGCACACAACCTTGCACCAGGCAGCATCTATGCAAATAAGCTACCCCTAGTGAGCACTGTATACAGCCCCAAGGAGTAGCTTGAATCTGAACCTTGATCCTCCTGTCAATGGATGGATGCTGAAGTTGGGGTGCCCGGGAAAGCTCAGTTTGAATTATTCATACCTCCTGTAAATTCATTGTTTTATGTGTTTTGTGCAACTTAGGAATGTAATGTGGACTTGTTAAAACATGGCCTTTGTTAATAAATTCTTTTACTTTTACTTTGATGTAAGCTTCAATATGTATATTCTCAGGAAATATAAATCTGAATAAATCAATTTTGTATATACTTGAAAAGTTACAAGACTTGGTAAAGGTATGAATAATTTAGGTGTTAACTGTACAAATTGACCACACTCATGAGATCATGTTGAAGGGGCAGAGGGGCCAAAAATGTTTTCGTTTTTTTTTAATGCAATTTTTAATATTTAATGTGCTCCTCTCATGTTTGTCAGTGAAATCTGAACACGATTGCTACATGTAAGTGTAATTCTTTAATTTTTTTTCTCCAACCTTATCAAATAAGACAATCAATCTTGACAGAATGAGATGTATACATACAGCTACATGTACAGTGTATGTTTCTACTACAGTTCTAGCAGTACGTGCAATTGTGCATCCTTAATTCTAATACATGTATGTGATTATGTGACTGCCCTGGCTTGACTGTGTAGAGAAAATTTAGCCCATTGACTATTGGAATCAGGTGGTTCCTGTATTAAACCTATGGGAATGAAAGAGCTCTGTAGTCTACTGGTTAAAAGTAACTTCACGCAAATGAGTCTGGCATTTTACAAAATTATGAAGGAAAAAGAGATTCTAATATTGATATGATACATTATTCACATTATAAAGGCTTAAATAAATTTAAGCCTAAATATGCAGAGACTTTTTAACACATATTGCACGGTTTACCACTAACAGGTGCCTGGGACACATCCATGTAGGTGCCCAAAATCTAAGCCGCACCCTAAAATTCTGAAACTTTTACTATGCAAATGCATATAGACTATAAAAGGTTGCACAATTTCACAGTTTAGGCTACTTTAATTGTTGAGGATATAGACAATACTCATTTTCCACAAAGCTAGCTCCTAAAGATACAGACCCCCCCCCCCCCCCCATCCCCCCAAAAATGGTTATAATAGCTTTCGTCTTCGATACTCCAGACATTTTTAATACGGAAATGATGTACATGTATGTGGAATCATGTGATCACAAAACACTAATCCATCATACCTAATGTACATGTATGTGGCTGAATCCAACATAAAGGATTAAACCAATCAGTCAACTAACAGACAGGTATAATGAACACCAATGGCAAAAACTGATGGAATTTGATTAATTTCTCTATTCCCCAGAAATAGGCCAGAATGTACTATCACTTGACTCCCCTCTTAATGGCATTAGACTGTCACTGTATGTGCATATCGCACATTAGTTTTGGTGTACATGTATACAATGTACATCTATGTAGCGGCCTGTTCTGGCCTCACATTATTGTCCATGTTCAGCTCGTCATAATTATTATTTAAAGGGGATTAATCTGCCCTGGCCAGGTTCACATTAACCATCAATTTATGAGGACTATATCAATTGAAATTACCACCGACTAGAAAAACATGTTAATATTTCATTTGATACCATCGAGGTACATGTAACTGCTGCAAAAACTTGGTTATTAATACTTTAGTAGTCCAACTCCAAGTACCAATGGTCTGAATAAAATTTGTACAGGGAAAATTATTTGTAAGGTTAGGTAAGTGAAAAAATGTAAATTATTCATCTGGCTCGTGTGTTTAACAGATAATGAAAGTTTTGGCTTCACAGATAAAGGTTTTCAATCCAGTTATCAGTGATTTTGAAAGTGTGCATCTACATGTACATGTAATGTGTATTGATGAACTTTCTTAAAACAAAAACAAAACAAACAGACAAACATAATCACATTGTGCATGTACTTTCCAAGTAAAGATTATTCCATAGCATGGTGGGAATCTGAATTAGAACCACTACATGTGCAATAAATGTTAAACAAGACAATAACATGTATCCAACTAGGAAAAAGGAAACGTTGCAGTCACAGCCCACTCAGTTCATTGCCCCCATGACAGCAACATTCAACAGTATGTCTTGGCATGATTAACAGCACCATGTCAGTTTAAAGTCACTGAGTAGTCGGCTCTCATGGGGAATTCGACACCGTTCGGGTGTTTACCCAATAACAGGTGTTGTCAATCACCAGGGTTAGCCTTGAGTTTTATGACCATTGGACCTTATGTAATGCTTTGAATTGCCCGAAGACTCTCGAGCTCTCCGAGAGATTAGGGGGTAATTCTTGACTGGACTATGGGTTTGCTGTGTGCAAATTTGTACCCCCATTAATGGTATTTCCACCAAGTCTGGTGTCAGCGAATTATGGCCTTCTGCACATGGAAACTGGCGATCCACCCCCTTTAATAGAAGAAAAAGTCAGCCTCATGCTGACAGAATTTTCCTCTCAAAAAACAGAAAATTGGAAACAGATGGTTGCTAATTTACCACAGCACTTTGTAACAGTTTTGTTATGGTCATTTTATTCTTCTCCTGAGAGGAACATGTGTATGGTGGGGGAATGCATATTATTGTAAATGTGTAGGTTTCCTGTGTACATTGTACTTGTGTATGCCTACATGTACATTGTAAGGAAATTTTAAACTCCTTGGGGATTCTTGACTTGGATTTCCCTCTTTACTACTCTAGGGGGTTTTCCAAAGCGCTGCACTTCCAGATTCCCACAGACCATCAGGTATGGGTACATACATGTACAGTTCACAACTAAATTATTCATAGCCTTACCAAGTTTTTTTCTTGAGAATTTGACATAAAGCTTACATGTAAAAGTATTCAACTAGTGCACCTTTCGTTCTTGAGTTACAAAAAACAAGCCCCACCCCCAAAAAACAATAAATTAAAACATTAAAACATTTACAAGGGGTATGAATAATTTAGCTATTAATTGTGCATGTACCTGTACATGTATTGCCTACATATTAAATAATTTACTTGATAGCTACAGAGTGCTAGTCATTCCTTAGTATGCACATGAGGCATTACTACTGAAACAATAAATACATCCTGTTGTAAACAAGAAACTGACTATGACTATCTCATAATAAACATGTACATGTATGGAGAAAAACAAATATCAGATTGCAGTCAGCTAGCACATCAGCATAACAGAAAGCAGGATATGTACTTTGAACAGGCCCACGTCGCACTATATTGTGCAATAATAAGTCCACAATGGAGGGAGGTCATGTTTACAAGTGTGCTCATTGGAGCGTATCAAAACACAATGCTGTACTTTGATCTGTTCTGCCATCCCTCTAGCCTATATAAGGCCATTTTTGTAATATACACCTGTAATCAAATTCAATGCACAAATCTTTGTGCAATGAATGATTTAAGAGCCCGTTATAAATTATTTCATTCACCTGTTACAAATAATTGCATTTCAATAGTCAGAATGCAAATTGCGTACATTTCGTTTTGTTAGGTACATTTGTTAGGTACATTTTTTAGGACAAGCCATAATGTTGTCCTACATCCAAATTGCATACATTATGTGTTGTTAGGGAGGACAAGCCATAATGTTTGCTCTATCTAGCAACGACTTATGTATGCAAGTTGAATTACGACTTTTAAAATACAATTATACTGTATGTGACAGGTGAATGAAATAATTTATAACATAACAATTAACAAAGATTTATGCATTATATTTGATTACATAACAAAAATTGTCTATTGCAAAAGTAGTTTCAGTAAAAGGCAAAGGGGTCTAGGGAATCAACTTTATTGCTTTCATTTCCTTCTCAATTATTTTAGGGTAGAGCCCAAAATCACATTAATTCAAAGAGACATGCCTCAGTCATGATGCCTGCCTTGTATGAAAAAAATATTTGTACTGCTGATTTTCAGGATCCGTCGTGTAATGTCAGAGACAGGGTTTGTCATATCATGGTTTATTTATGAAATTGTAAATATCTCACAAATAAGATTGTTTCTGAACCTAAATTTACACATTTTATTTGTTTCTATACAACTACCCACCCTTAATGTAACTTTCAAAGCTAACTGACAAACAATTTGGCCAGTTGCATTAAGACCACCTACATAAACTGTAGTGTACATGCACCAAGAAAAATGCATTTTAATTTTACTGTATACCTTGTCCAGTGTAGTGTATTGCCGTACATGCAATATAAAAATAATTTCCATTAAATACAGAAATGTCAAGTTAACTCTGTGATGATGAATGGGAAATACAGTAACAGTAGTCGAGGGAGGATATTTATAAAGAGGATCTCAAGAAATGGGAATTTACAATACAAGAAAAATTGGATGGCACTACACAACCCACTTAGAAAATGCCATAAATTACATTTGTAGTGTAGCTTTTAAAGGATATCATGTAAAGTTAATGAACAACTAACTTTCAAGTTCATGTTGAGATGGGGAATGGGGAAAACAGTAGTGGATGGAGGATATAAAGAGGATCTGAAGAAATGGGAATTTAAAATACAAGAACAAGTGTGTTGGGCAGAGAGCAACCCACTTATAAATCTATGTCATGTACGAACAGCACTTAGTGCAGCTTGTCATGGGTATGTATGTCAAGTGTATGAGCAACTAATAGGATTAGACAATCTAAATGTACATGTAAGAGGCCACAACACATATTGACTATTTAGGGAACCACATGTACATATACACAGGTCAGAATGAATAACCACAGAGTTAATTTAATCGTTACTCTTTGGGATGATGTGATAAATCATGGATGCCTAATTGCATGTACGTTTGATTAATGTACATGCATGTATTAAAGACATTAAGGACATTAATGCAATATGTCATTAAATGTACAAAACAAAAGAGAACATGATGTACTAGAAACAATGTACATGCAGAGGAGAAGTCACTATTAAATACAAGAATAAATCATATCTGTGGATATACATGTAGTCTCTGAACAGACACTGTGGGCTTTTTACCTCGGGCCCTAAATGGAAACCTTTGTATTCATCCAGATACAGTATACCAATGCATTCACTCACTACCCATATTGATCATTTTACTGGCACAAAAAAAAAGGAGGCAGACTTAATCAGAAGAAAAAGAAGAAGCAATAGTTAAAATGGGACAGGAAGGCTGGCCTACACATACATGTACAGTACAAATTATCTAGCACATCCTCATTCTATAGAGTTTTTCTACCAGTATAACATACATGAAAGAAAGGCTGATTTGGGTATATCAACTGGTAAATACCAGCTTAGTATTAAGCTGAAACTTTATCCCCCCATTGACATTGTACTTGCCTTAGATTTATTATTTCATCAATCACGCCTACAATTGAATTTACCGCCCCCTCCTAAAGTACATACAGGTTTACAGTGTTTAAATTAAACACATCGCCTGCTGAAAGTACTTGAAAAGGTGTAACTAATTAAAAAGCATATTGTACAAAGAGGCACAAGTAATATCATTCTGGCTTTAGACAGGATGCGTTTCCGGTTCTTGTAATAGTTATACAATTTTCATATGTCTTCCATAATGTTCACAGCTCTTTCCTTGCTATTAAATAAAAAGCCAACAGTGCATGACTTTGATATCTAGACTTGATGGGCAATCAATTAATGAGGCTTATTTTTTTAAAGCCTGACCACAAATATTTACATGGACAAACCACTTCTCCTTCTTGTTTATCAAGGAAATCAAAACATGACAACAGGCAAAACAAACCATACTTGTCCAGTCTGGCGGGCGATCATTAGTTTACTATCATATCTCTTTCTTTTGTTTCCTAAAATTCACTCACGCACAACCGATAGTTGAGTGCTTTTGAAAAATTCAATAAGTGTAAAAATATGTATGAAACAAATTGAAACATAAAACTTCCTGACAATTATTCATGACAATGTTCATTGCTATCAACAAAGCCATGGGACGTCAAATATCCAATGCCATTCAAAGTTTACCTTTCCTTCCTTCCAATAAACTTGCTTCTATCTACACATTTATTACTCTGTTTTGAAATATACTAACAAATAGCGCACATGTTTTGTATAAAAGAGAGAGAGAGAGAAGATATTTTGATGCACACAAAGGCCAGCGTTGTTGAAAAACTATGCATCACATCTTGTCTTTGTATGCAAATTGTTCTTGATCAAACAAATAACATGATGAAGGAGCAATCTGAAGACTAGAGTATTTATGTACAGTACATAACTTTTATGACGACTGTTAACAGGATTAAACCCAACATACTTGTCTGATGTCACCCTACTTTTCTATGTACGCGACAACCAGATGCTGGTGATTGTACGTCACAGATAGATCAGATACAGAAACATATTTTTCTCCTGAAATGCAATAAACCATTTACATGTCAACTTTGGTTACCCTGTATTGGATTAATCATTTTATTTTGTTGAATATCATTATCTATTCAGAGCAAGAAGGTTGTTAACTCTTGCAGTGCCAGAGGTGCAAATATGCACCAAATAATACACACAATGCCCATAGACCACCAATCTCCTTGGCACCATAAGAGTTAACTCATACATGTATCTACTGTAACCCAGGTATAACACCCTTCTAGCTCAGAACAGGTCGTCACCTGGCTGGCAGAAGGGCGTTTGCTTGAATTTCAGGTAAAAAGTGAAGCGTTAAGCAGAAGGGCGGTAGCACTAAATCGCCTTAAACTTTTATAAAACTGACTTATTTCCGAGAAAAAAATTGTGGCTGTGTTCTACTATAACATTTCTATTAGTCTTTTAAGTTTTAAACCAATTTTCGGGACGGAAAGCAGTTTAAATATTTAAAACAAATCTTTAACTGCGAAGTAGTTTTCGAGTCACTCGCGAGCTAACGCCCTTCTGCCAGCCGGCCGACGAGGTGAAATATATCTGTCATTTATCATACAAACATACATGAACATCTACAACAATGTGAACATGACTGCATTATGTTGAGTTGAGAAGATGGGAGACTGCCTTTTTTTAATCCCCTTTTGTTCTGAAGAACTTCAGTACTTACCAGAATGCTCCATATCTGCACACCATTGGTGTAGCCGATCACTAGAAACAACGGACATTCCGGGGCCTCCTGTGAGTGGTTCATATAATCTGCAAAAGATAGAAGATATTTACAAGGCATATATTATACCCTGTGCTAAAATGGTGCATGGTGCAAAGTAATCCTGCCCCCCCCCCCCCACTTCCTTAACCCGTTATAAATATCAACAAACCATTTAGACTATGTCATAGACCACGCAATAAAGAACAACATAAATAAATTATGCTGTATACTGAGGGGGTGTAAAAACAAATAACAATAACAACAAGTATTGTTCAGTAAATCTGTGTTTCAAAATAGGGGGAGGTGACAAATATTCTGTATTTTCATTTTCAGGTTATTAAGCTCATAACATTATTTGGCCTACATGTACATTTCTACATTGAAAAAGAAAGGTTAATCATAACAGACTCTTGGTGAATGGACTTTTATATTTTTGCATACATTCCAAAAATGTAGAATGATGACACACTTTAATGCCATCTATTCCTGTTTTGGCAACTGTACAATCAAATACAGTGCTGTAGTTATGTGGGAGTATTTATTGATCTGAATTCCAAGATCACATGACTTCTGTAAGTCCATCTTGTTTCGACCATTCTTTTTGTATACATTGTATGTGTAGGACATTGAATCAAAATACAAACATGACACAGCAAATAACATAAACATACATGTATATACTGTTGTCACTGGAAGTGCAAGTCAAGATTTCCAGATTTACTTATTCAGAAACTGCCTTTTCAGAAAATGTGACAGATTGTACAGAAAACTACCTAAATCAGATTTTACTGGTTTTACTAAAGGAAAATTAATATTAAATTCTTGTTCAGGGCAAACTATGTTGTGCCATACATTCTCCAGTTGTAATCTAAGCATTACGATACAGCATGCAGAGAGGGGGCTGCAGCCCTCCACCTCAAAAAAAAAAGTATACGCCCCAATACCGTAAAGGCCGCAGTATTTTTGGGTGAGAAAAAATCAAAAAGTCGGGGTGCGGCGTATACGCAACAACAAAATTCAGCGGACAAAACATCACGTCCATTTGCACGTATGGGACTATAGGAACGGTAGCATGACTAGACAACGGTACAGGACAATTCTAGAATAACTCCACACAACTTACCGACAAGTTTATGTTGCATAGTTGACATGAAGACGAAAAAACTTATTTTTCTAATAAAATCTGCCGATAGATCTAGATCTAAGTCCATACCATTGCATCGCCAAAAAGTAAACAAAGGGACAGGCCGTTACTTACGGAGCTAGCTGCCGCGCAACGCAACTGCGCAGGTCGAAAAATGCTATTTCGGATTACACCGCACATCGAGGAAGGGGTATTGTAAGATACCAAATCTGCGTACGATACAGTACTAGCTTAAAAGTCGATGAAGATCTGCTAAATTATGATCATTTTTGAGGTTAACTTCTTGTTAAGAATATTGATGAATTTAATATATAAGAATATTGATGAATTTGGTATAGTTTGTAAAAAAAAAAGAGTGTTCTACAAGAAAATTACGATCATTTTGTTTGGTCCGTTTTTTTTTTTTTTTTTTTTTTTTTTTTCCCTCTACGAAATGTCAAAGTTGGGGGTGCGGCCTATACGGCGGTGCGGCCTTTACGCCGGCAAATACGGTATATAACAACTATAGGAAAGAAGAAAAGGAGTTCTTTACCACACTAGCTTCTTTGTCATTTCTATTTTATTTATTGTTATACTGTATATTATTATAACTGTTTTTGTTTAGGGGGGAGGAGGTTGGGATTACATTGTATTTAACTGATTCCATAAGGATCAGTCGATATGCTGTCAAGCCACTATTGCAGTACATCTTCAAGATGACACCAGACCAACAATAGACTGAACATACAATTACATTACCCCCAAATAAGCTACAGTAGATTGTTGCTAACCGATTGGTTTGGAGTCAGTTTAGTGGAATCCCAGGCTACAGGTATATGCAGTTATCATCAAAACATCTGAACGTCAACACAGCAAATATCGAGGGGTCAGTGACACAAAGACGTAACTCCATTTTGAGAAAAAGTGGTTTATGTGTCACGTACTGCATGAGCACTTGGGCCTTAAGGATTTAATGTTTAACTAGCTATTGACTTCAATGGGGTGTCGGGTGGAGTTAAGTCTTTGTGTTTCGTAGAAAGCCCACATTTTTCTGAACATTTTGATATCAAATACTCATTTTGGCAAAATATGGAGTTACATTGTTGTGCCACCAAACCCTTGATATGTTGTTCAAATGTAATTCTTTTCTACTCACCAGTGACATCTGGCTTCTCAAACTTCACCCAGATGATCTTGTCGTTCTCTAGAGGGGCTGATCCTGCGTAGGCATCGTGGAAGAAGTCTACCACTGATGCCATGTAAGACTTATCACTGTGGACAAATTCAACACAGAAACATATATTTAAAAATACAATACTGTACATGTACATCTGCTTTGGGCTTGTCTTCCCTGCTATTTTACTAATACAGCGTATATTTTTGTTTTAAAGTAGTAGAGACAGTAGACTCCAATTTCACGATATCTGCATGATTCTTTTTCTTATGAAATCATGGGTGAGGGTCTATTCAATGGAATGGCACTCACCCTAGACAATCTTTTATGCCTGAGGGAGCACTGGCTAATTTATTTCTAAAAAACTTGTGAAAATTGGTTTGCGCAAAAAACGTTTCAGCCTTGGGTTGGATGTAAATCAAACTTATTGCATTATCTCTGCTCACTATCAATAATTGATTTGAGAAATAATTTGATCTTTAAATCTTTACCAAGCTGTGCAAACCCCCAGTGGCATATCCAGTAATTGATAAAGGAGAGGGGCGGCATCCTCCAAAGACAAGGGTCCAGTAAACATGTTCAATGTATCTTGGCAGCTCCTTTCTTTTATCCTAATATCAAGTTTCACCAAGTTTTTTCCTGGCCGTTCAAAGAGAAGCTACACTACCTTCAACCAAATACATAAACTGCTCCATCATTGCAGGTGATGTCTTTCCAGCACAGATCAGTACCCATTTTTGTCAATATAATGTTGGATTGATTGAATGCAGGGATCGGAAGAGTTCCTAACATTAAACATGTTTTATTTAAATTTCTAATTTAATTTTGTAAAGGAAACAATTTATTAAAAAAAGGTAAATGCTTTGTTTTCATTAGTTTAAAAAATGCATGTGAAGATATCGACATGAATTACACTGCATGTTTTCCACAAGTCATGCTCCAGACAGCAACACATCATGAACATTTGGTGGAGGAGATGTGACAAATAAAGGAAACAAATTACTTGTTATTAAAAGAAATAGCCTTTAACTCTCTTTTATGAAAATATTGAACGATTTCTTTTGAAAGGAAACACCATTCACAACTGAATATTGCATTTTCCATTCAAAAATCATGTGATATGTATATTTTCCCGCTGACAACCAATTTTATGCATTCATCTCAAGGATTAAGTGAAAAAAGTTGTGATGTTTTAGATATCTTTGAACATGATCTTAAACTACAAGAAGATAGACCTGGAAGCTCAACTGCTGTCTCAGCATTCTTCCAATATTTGCGGTAAAGGTAAACATTTGGGGTGATATATTTTTTAAACTTCTGGAAAAAAAATGATGAGTGTAGATGTACCTCTGCCACCATCCTTGCGGCGAGTTCCTTTGAGTTAATAATAATAGGATGAAGTCAGACTTCTCAGACCTAGGGACAACTCTGCCCCGCTGCAAAAACTGCCCGTTTTTGCAGGTTTAGGGTTAGAGTAGGGTTAGGGTCTAAGGGTTAGACTTAGAGTTAGCTAGGTTAGGGTAAAAATAACAAAAATTACCATTTTTGCGAGGGGCCGAGTTGTCCCAGGGTCCGAGTAAGCCCGGATCCAATAGGATTTATCTATCTTGAATTGTAACTTACAATATACAACAAAATTACAAGACAAGCTTAGCTAGTTAGCTTATCCTTTCTTTCTTCTTTTTTTCATCCGAAAATAATGGACAGAATGACACAGTTGGGTAGCGGTTAGCACAACCACAAAGGACAGGTCTAATTCTAAGACTTTTGAGAGTGTAATAGACTCTAATTAAAAAGACAAATAGACCATTGCAGAAAGAAAAAGTGGAGAGTGCGAGGCATTTGTGCAAGTTGTGTGAAGAGTTATTAGTGAGTTATAATTCATACATCATTACATGTTTTATTTACAAATACAAATCTATAAAAATCAAAAGAAATATTTTTAGGTCGACAAATAAATGACAGTGACTTGAATGAGTGATCAAGTGGAAAAATAACAAATTTGGGAGATGCAACATGTAGGTCTAGCCAAATAAAGTTAGCCGGTAAGTTTATCATGACTCATTGACATTACATCAGCCATCAACGAGCCCCACCCCAAATAATATTGGTGGCCTTCTCATTCAAGCCAAGTGACTGTGATACCAAACAATTTAAGAACAAAGGAAAACTGTTTTCTTTTGTTGACAAACCTAACGGGCTGGGGCCTCACTGTCTGGCCTCCGCGAGGGACTCGTCTTGCACCTTCCACGTACGACATTGTGTAAGATTCCGTGGCCAGCTAGCTGCAATCCCTGACCCTCGACTTGACTCCAGTGCAGTGTTCCTGGCTCAGCTGTTTTCCGTTGTCTCCCGATCCCGAACCACTACACAGCGAGCGCGCCGAGAGCTCGTACCGTTGTCTGTCGTCAATTTTTGAGTGCACACGCCTTGTTTACAGCCACTTGAGGCTTCTAAACTGGGAAAGGCACTCTTTGCAATATTTCTCATCGAACCATACTTCACCTTGTTTCGATATTCCAACAAAATCACAAAAATTCAGGGAAGAAATATGATCTTTAGAATGACGTTGTGAGATTGTTGTTATCGTCTGTATGTAAATATAATGATATGCAAAAGTTCAACACTAGAGGGCGACAATTTACTTGTTTTGACGGAGCTAGCATTCCTTGACCTTGCATTATTTACAAATTAAAAGATTACTTCAACATCTATTTCATTTATCTGTTTCCTTTTTGTGATAATAACTCCCTTGATTTGGAACGAATATACAAATAAAATCGAAATCCGTAGAAAAATTATACAATGAATAAGATGACAGCTTAAAATTTGTTAGACCTAAACATATGCGACCCCATTTTCTAATGACACAATTTGCTATTTTATTTCTGTCTTTTCCATTTTGCTTTGTTGAATCCTTTCTTCAAAGATATATTATAAAGTGTATATTTAGTACGACAAATGAAAATATCAAACAACGTCACAATATTTTTTCTTAATGTATTCATAGGTAGTCATAATACTCCCATCATGTTTATCTTATTGCTTGTTTATGTACCAACCAATTATTTGGTCCAGAGGGGACCCTACAACTTACAAGCTCTGCTTTTACCAGGGTCTCCTCGTCTTTCTTTTCGTTCACTTTGTTTTTGTCATTGCCATAAAATGTGTTGCATTGTAAATGTGTAATGATCTAATATTGCTCTAGCTATGTGAAATTTGAAAGAAAGATAAATAAATATCTTATCTTCTTATCTTCCTTTTCCGTTCATCCATATGAACTGCATGGGGGATCAGTGAGGATGCTGCCGATGATGGTCGATGACTGTGTTAGTTAAGGATGATGATGATGATGATGATGATGATGATGATGATGATGATGATGGTGATGATGATGATGGTGATGATGATGATGATCACTCGACTACATGATGATTCATGATAATAGATGGTTTAATGAGCGGATGGTGACGGATGAGGATGATGATGAATATAGTGCTGATGATGATGTTGATCGAGGATGATGATGTTGAGGATGATATAATGATAAGGATGATGATGATGATAATGATGATCACTCATGATGATGCATGATAATAGATGGGTAACGATTATGATAGTGATAATGATGCATATGATGAAGATGTCTGAGGACGAGGCTGGGATAATGATATGGTGATGATGATGATGATGATCACCCATGATGATTGATGCGCATAATAATCATGGTAATGATGATGATAGTGATTATGATAAAGAGGATGACAATGATCATGATGAGGATGAGGATCGAGAGTGAATTGTTGGCCCTCAATGGCTGCATGCATAGGATAAACTGCATATACATTGAATGGGACCACGCCCCCTTTACATGTCTAATGAGCAAATGGAGAATTGTATAATTTATTTTCTCTATTAACAATCCTCAAGTCACCTTAATTACCAATACTTTCAAACAGCGAGGAGGAGGGGGGGAGGGGGTGACCCGTCACACTCACACACTGAATAGAGACAAACTCATATGCATACAATAACAAACTCGTGCAGAATTACTCATCCTTGTGATGACTGTGTAGGCTGTGACGCAATTTGTTTAGAAACACGCCATATCGGTTAGTCTTTTCTATGTCGTCGTAAAAGAAAATAACTTGTAATTGTCATTCGTTTAGTCTATGCTATATACTTCAGCTCAAATAATTGAATTGATATACCATCATTGTCTTACATGTAATTAAATTTATTTCTAAATGAATATAAAGAAAATTTCAAGGCTAGTACACAACTTATTTAAACATCAGTGCTTACTTACTATTTTCTTTAGCCTTGACTGAGACTAGACCTATACAACAATATTCTTTTGTGAAACAAGAAGCAAATTAGAGAAGCTCTCAGAATGTCGGGTAAAAATCCATTTTTTGATGAAGGAACAGCAGGTAGCGGGGGAGCTGGAAGTTCCTGGAATGATTGGGAAGATGTTGGAAAAGAATCGACCGACTATGATTCGAAAAATGATTATGGATTTGATTTTCAGAGCAAACAAATGGAAATTGATAGACGGAAACAGAACATGTTATCTAGCACACAGAGGTCTATGGGACTGATGTATGAAGCGGAGCAGGTCGGGAATGAAACGGCAGCAGTAAGTACGGCAGTCGGTATTAGTCGTGGAATCTATGTAATATGTAGGCCTAGTATGACTCTATGTTTGGGTAAAAATCAAATGAGCGTGGAATCGGAGCTTCTGTTGCATGTTAGCTATGTTTCTGTGTAATAGAATAACCAGACGGTGTTGTCTTTGTGAATGGTCTTAAGAAAAGAAAAAGTTAACCCTGTCAAGTCAAGTTTGCTGACAGAAACATCCCACTAAAAAGTAAAATGCATGCTAATTTTATAACATGATTTCCGTTGAATGTCCACAAACTTAGTCTTATCTTAGATGCTGTAGTAGTGTCATAGCTAGTATTTGTCTCTGAACAGAACTGTTCGTACAATGTCGGCATTAGGCTACGAAATGATGCCTACGTTTAACCTTTCACAGAAAGTTACAGTTTTTCTGAAGCATTTGTATTAAATTTTGTTTCCTACTTTCCTTCTTCATTTAAGTGGGGGTTTATATAAGGTGTTCATTTCTTCTTCGGAGGCTATAATCATCTGGTGTAAATATTCACAATTGAATGACACACGTCTTTAAAGGGACTAGATCTATGTCCCATTTGCAGGCAAAAAAATGAAAAAGTTAAATTCCAACTGCATTTGAAAGATAATACTAATTAAGAACTTCCCTAAAAAAGGTGGGGCTTGAAAATGTCTTCAAGTGGGAAAATAACGACTATTAGTTGTCAAATCGACTTTAGGGCTATAGAGCCCAAAAGTAATAGTCTTGATTTTCAGACAATTGTACCGAATGGTCATATGTTTTATGCTGCGCAAAGATTCAATCAGTTTAATCTTGGCCATCACAATAAGTGGGTTATTGATGTAGACAAATACTCATGTACCCTTTACAACTCTTTTCATGTATGTTATTACCAAAGAAGAAAAAAAGCCAGTCAGTCACTCAATAGTGTCTGACAGTGAAGTCTAGCAAGTAAACTGTTTTCCTTGCATAATTTGAATATGAGGACACTGCTAACGTTTAAATTTCACAGATAGGACATACATGACATATTCATAATTCCTGCAAAGTTCTACAGCATTTGAGGTTGGCTGCAAAAGGGACATAGTAACTTTAAGACTAAAACAACAACAACAACACAAGGTTTTCTGAGTAAGAGTGTACAGAGTTAAAGACTGACAAAGAGAAAGAAAAAGTAGCATAACTAAGTTGGACAAAACAAATGCTATGTTTGGATGATATCCAAAATGAATGAGTGCCCACAAAGGTTGTTTATTTCAATGTGCTTTGTTTAATTTCAATAATATTGAGGGGTCAGTGACACAAAGACATAACTCCATATTGGCTATTTAGAGATAAAGTGTAAAATGTGTCACTGAGCAATTGGGCCTTAAGGAGTTAAGTCTATGTTTCACTAGCCATTGCCTTTGTTGGGGTGTTGGGTGGAGTTAAGTCTTTGTGTTTCCTGCAAAGCCCACATTTTTCTGAACATTTTGATATCAAATACTAATTTTGGCAAAATATGGAGTTACGTCGTTGTGTCACTGAACCCTCGATATGTTCACTGCTGATTGTCCTGCAGGAACTGTTACACCAAGGTGAGCAACTGCAGAGAGTGGACACCAAGCTGGACAAAATGGACAAAGACCTTGACATCTCCAAGAGGCACATCACGTCCATGAAGTCCATCTTCGGAGGCATCGTCAACTACTTCAACAAGCCCAAACCCGACCAGCAGGAGCAGGCTGCCCCGCCCCGAGGCCCCAGCAAGCTCAAGACGCACATGGAGCGGTCAGAGGCGGAGGAAGAGATGAGGAGGGCGAACACCGATCACCCCGCCCTGAAGCTCAGAGGGGTGGGGGCTTCGGAGACCAATGCAGGAGGGTGGGGTCCATCTTCTACGGCAGGGTTTGGAGCGGAGGACGACGGTGGGGTGGGGTCGACGAGTAATGTGTTGCAGTCGCCCGGTATGAAGGACTTTGACAATCAACTCAATTCCAATCTAGGTAAGCTACGGTGTAAAAGGGGAAACAAATGAGAGGTGTTGGGGGGGGGGGGGGGGCGGGGTGGGCAAGGGTTACCTGAGTAAAGTCTGGCCCTCAACTCATGCAGGAGGCACATTGAATGAAAGAGAGCCTAATCATATACTCTCCTGTCAATAGAATTTGAATGTTAAATATTTATGAAATATAATTGATGAAACTACAATTTGTTATTTGCTTGCTGAAACTTGAGGTTTTTAAAAAGGTTGAAAGTTTCTCTAATTAATAGTATGGGGTGGTATTCCAGTAGCACGTACTAAGTTAGCGCGCACTAAGTTAGTTCACACTTTTATGGAGTGCCAGTTGCCAACTCATTTACCCTGTACAGATTATTTTAATCCTTCAATGAAAAGTGTCCCCAAAAAATAATTTTGCAATGAAATGGGAAGAAAAAGATAATATGAACTGAATTTCAACAAAGTCTTTCATGAATTATCTTTGTCATGAATATTGAAGGAGGAAGATGAAACCTAGCATTCCATAGAAGTGTGAACTAAAATTCTTGTTTAGTCTGGACTTAGTCCCGGCTTTACTTATGAGAATACCACCCATTCTCCTTTGGAACTTCCCCCGTAATATTTGAGATTCATCAACATGAATAGAAATGTTGCCATTAAGTGTAAACTGTGGAACAATTTTCTATTAGACATTCAATATACCGGTAAAGCAAGCTAATGCCTGATGTGTTATGTAGTTTATTTAGGTACCAAAACTTGCAAAGAAAATTGTTTCAATAGTTAGCCCCATTCTCAATATTCCTATAATGTACTGTTTATAGGTGTACATGTATTCCTTCTAATAAGACACTTCTCTCTGGAAATCTATTTACATACAAAAATCAGTTAAATAATGACTGAAATTAATCTCTCTTTGAAGTTCAGTTTCACATGTTCAGCATTAATACTGAATTACCCACAATGCTTTTCATGTTTATTTTGTTCTTTCTAATGATGCGACTCTTTACCTTTAAATGTATTCTACTTTAAAAATAAAGTAAGATTGTGCTGTTCTGAATTGTATCAAACTGTACCAAAAAAAAACACTTGCTCTTTGTGAAATTTACACCAAAACAGTTCAGATAGATGAACATTGGTCCCAAAATTTATAGAGATACACTTATATCACAAGTAAGTTGCTTCCTGTTTAAAATTACAATCTACATGTACATGGAGTCCTATCCTTCAACCGAGCCTAGAGATTGAAATCATACAGGAAGTGGTATGACCAATTCCTTTCACTTTCCAATTGTATAAAGTTTATATCTCTCTATATTTTTAACTTGTTTGTAAATTGAACATTTTCAGCCTGCAAGCTGCTTGTTTGATGTGATTTTGCAATAAACCAAACCAATTCAATTCAATTCAATACAGGTTCTTTGCACCGATTGTAGAAGAATAAGTGCAGTGTATGGTGAATACAGACAAAAACCTGTGGCTAATCCTTGAATTTTCCCTTTTTAAATCTTTTTTTTTTTCGCGGATTTCACGCTAAGATCGGCAAGTGCGAATTCTAGAACTCGCGAAAATATAGGCATGACTTCTTATGCATGGTTTGAAAGGGCTGAATTGCGTGCAACGCAAATTTAAAAACCAGGGAATATGATGTTGGGTCACTCAGCACGAAAAATTAATCACGCAAAAATAACAGTTTTTACAGTATTTGTTATATGACAGATATCATCTCTCAATGAGCCTTTGTGTCCACCTATCATACCCCACCTCATGGTTTTGTGGGGAAGATGCTCGCTAGTCTGCAGGCACAGACTCTCACTCTACTATAACACTTCACCACAATTCCTAAAGCATTGAGCTAAGTGTAGCTCTCTCAGTCTCTGGCTTTTTAAAACTAAAGTACCTAGCTTATGGTGACCTTGCAGTCGACATAGTCTCACAGTGAAGACCCTGTTCAGCACAACAACTGGCTGATCTCATAACGATAGATCTGGGCCCTGTTTCATAATAATTGTCATCAATAACAAATGCTAAATTTTTATGACAAATTTGCTCTCAGCAAATGTCATGATTTTAGTAGCTCATAACAGTTATTTTAACTTGTTATTGATAACAAGTTTATTGAAATAGGGCCCAATATTTAGGAAGCAACTTACAACATGTATCATTTATATTGTAATCAGGTCTGATAAAAACCTGATTTAGATCGGTTTCCCGATTTTTTTTTTTTCCCCAATATTTTTTTCTTTTTTTCCCCCATTTTTTTTTTTCTTTCTTCCAATTTTATCCTGATTTTCCAGATTTTAACCCTGACTTTCTCTCTTCTTCCCTATTCTTCGCTATTTTTCCAAATTTTCTTACTCAGAAGGGGGAGAATGTTGTTAGATGCCATTTTCCCCCTGAATCCTCTTCTTTTTTTTTTACTCAAGGGGAGCGTGGTTGAGGGGTAATTTTTTGTTTTTAGTGCTCACTATCACCCCTGTGTAATCTTTTTTATTTCATCCCCATCCATCACCTAGATGACATCACCTCTGGCATTGGTCGTCTGAAGGGTCTGGCTATGGGACTGAACGATGAACTGGACAAACAGAACGATGACATCGATAGGATAACGGGCAAGGTGGGGAGAGTGGACGTCAAGCTGGGTCAAACGGACAAGGAAGTCAAGAAGATACTCAGGAGATAATGATGGCTGGCCGTGAGAAACGCAAGCAGCTGTCTTTGAATTCCTTGGTTTGAACTTGATCCATATGAACAGATAAATATTAATATTTGTATTATTGTTATTATTATTTTGCTCCATGCTCATATCATTGATAAAAGATCAGCATCTTGAATTTGTAGATACGTGACTTTCATGAACATTTCATTTTATATGTTTCAAGGTAAATTTGTGGTTGACTTGGTAAACTTGGTAAACAAGGTAAACTTGATCCATATGAACTGATACAATAATAATATTTGTATTATTGTTATTATTATTTTGCTCTATTCTCATATCATTGATGATAGATCAGCATCTTGAATTTGTTGATACATGACTTCGATGGACATTTCATTTTGATATGTTTCAAGGTAAATTTCTGCAGGTTGAGTCATTTTGTCTATTTGGAGTCAGAAGTATATAGTCAAACCTGCCTTAGTGACCACCTGTCTACAAAGACCACTTTTTGTGTTTCCCTTGGGTGGTCGCTTTAGACAGGTTTGACTGTATTTTTAAATAAAGCCCTTCTTGCTCTGAACAGATGATTCCTTCTTTTCTATGTGGGATAGTGAAGCATAAACAATAGCATGAGTAAATTTGTCAGCTCTTGATGATCGCACTTGAAAGATGTTCATTTCTGTAAATACAATTATGCAGGATCGTTGTTATCAAACCATTTTTAATTTATTTTTTTTTTCTATTTTTTTTATCTTGAATTCTTTTCCTCCTAAATACTCTGAAGAAGAGTTTTGACTGGAGGTGGTGGAGGGTGGACGATTACATTTTGGTAGTCACGGGCCAAAACCTCCTCATAGTCCTCCTTTTCATAGCGCTTTTGCAAGCACAAGTATTTGTATTATGCACTGACACAGGGCATTTGTGTGTAGACTGTAGACAATTTATTTTGAAGTCCATCAATCTGTGAACCATATCTTATAAAAGATTTTTGTTGTTGTTTTTTTGTCAATGCCAAGTCTGGAGGATAGAGTATCTTTAAAAAAAAATAATAATAATGAAATAAAAACCTGCAGGTCTGAACTAAGCATTGCCCTTACAGCTCCTAAAAATACTCTCATAAGTGATGTGAAATACTTCCATTCAAAAAAATATATTTATAGATCTGCAAACTGCCAACAAGAATAGTAATTCAATAATTTTGCCATGTTGAAATCGTGGACAAAATGTATTCTTGGGGTTAATGGTCACGTTTTTTATCCATAAAAGTGCTTAGTAAAGAAACTTTTTAGAGCAGGGTTCTCAAAAAAATCAATGCGCCGTGTATATTTGTGAAATATGTGATTGTAGTTTAATAGGAAATGGAATTGCTGGTTAGAATTGTGATTCCTTTTGTTTAAGAGAAATAAAATCTCCAAACTTGCTTTAAACTTGTTTTGACTTGGGATTGTATAAAGGGTGACTATATTTTTAAATATGAATCATGTAGCTTAATTGGAACTCTGCAGCTGTGACTGTGAGGAACTCTTCATCTGTTAATGATTTCCTAGTAACTCTCATTCAAACACTTAAACACCTGAATGTGTACCAATCACAAAACAAAATACTTTAGTATGTACACATTATGTCCATGTATACTCAATTTTAACTAAACTTTTAATTCTTTAAAGAAGGATACCTGTACTCTTTAGTCTTTACTGTACCTGATTTTTTTTTTTTTTGGGGGGGGGGGGGGGTTGTGCCTTTATTTTGTGTCGGTATTAGTTTGTCCCTTTGTATCTCCAGTTTTGTACAAATTTAGTTATTCTGAGATGCAGTAAATCACTTGATTTGTCCACTAAAAAGCTCTCGGTGAGATTCTGCTGTTTCAGCACATTTGGTATGTTTATTGCAGGGTTATATTGTGAAGTAAAAAAAATATTATACAACTCGTGACAGGGGAATAGATATAATCTTGTTTCAGTACTGCGAATTGCAGTTTACATGTTTGTTGAGTTTCAGCTTAAAAAATAAACAATTTTGGGTAATGTTTATGAAAAGTAGATATCTTAATGTATATAAACAGGTTAGTGCTAAAATTAGCAATGGAATATGACTGCATTTTTTTAACAAGATAAGTTTGGCCTGTTTTAGCAGTTACTTCTTCCCAATTATTCTGTATGAACATTAAGCGTGATTAGAAATGTCTCCACAATGCCAAATTCTTGTCCTATGTTGTCGCCTAGGAAACACTGTATACTCTATTTAACACAATCACAAAGACTTTCGAAAATCAACTGTAGGCAAATTTTGAAGCCTTGACGATCTCCCGTTGAAGTTTTAGGACACTAAGAGTACGTACTAGTATTATGTAAGATAAAAAGGATAAATAACGGATGTACAATACTAGTATTGGTATTGCCTTAGTGTTGATTTCTCGAAAGAGTTTACTATCGTTGGGTATAAAGTATCTTCATTCTTTAGTAGTACATCGCATTTGCCCTATCTTATACTACATTTATTAAAAGAAAGCACCTATCCCATTGTATGAAGAGCATTTCTTTTGCTTGTATACTATTGTACAGGGGGAAGTTCTATTTACCCTGAAGAGGTTTATGTGATAACATTTAAACAAAGCCAAAATTTATATTTGATACTCTTTATTATTGAAACCTTTATGTTTTGTCTTTTAATTAAGGAAGGTATTGTGATTTTTCTTTTTGTATTTGTAAAGTAAATATAGTTATACAGGTGGTAGTTATTCAATTAGTATTTATCTTTTATATCCATATGTGAAGTTTATTTTGACCTGTATGACATTGTTGAGAATGTATATTTATCCCTGCAATAAAAATTCCATGTAATCAGAATAAAGTTGGAGAATTACCTCTTTGTTGATTCAAAATTATTATTTGTCTTTCCGTAAAAAATAGTAATTGTGAATACTGGATTAACTAACCTTTCAAACTTTACACGGATGTTAATGAGTTTTTTTAAATAATTTTTTAAATATTTTGTCAATGATCATATTGCAGGTTCTAAAATGATGTGCAAAGAAATAGAAGGAGGGGTTGTGCGACTCATGCTCTTGGGACAATGGCTCCGTGGTCAATATCTGTTTGTATCATAATTGATATGTTTTTATTCAGTTCACACAGACTTTCTGAAAAACGGCCCTTTAGGCTAGCTGAGAGAGTTATCGTGTTTAAATAATCAAATGAAATAAAATCCAAAACTAAACAAATTCCTTACTGCATCCCTGTACTAAACACCATACCTAATCCTAGTCCGAGCGTAAAACCCAGTGGTAGTGATAACCCTAACTCTGTATATTTGATGAAATAAAGCCCGGGGCAGCTGTTGCTGGAGCATAATATGTCTGAACACAAGAAAAAGAATATCTATAAAACAGACAATGTAAGTGGCTAAACTTTGAAAAGGAAAAATATCCTCCACACAAGTTGTAGTGGTGGTGAAACTGAAATTCGGGCTTTGTTTCATTAAAAAAATGACGATGTACACTAACTGATTATACAAATAACTAGATAAAATAACAAGATATACTGATAAACTAGTTTTTTTAAATCATAGTTTGAATAATTATGAACAGAGACAATACGTCGTTGCCTTTGAAACGCAATCATCTTTTTCACCCTGCAGCCCACCAGCAGATATTTGTGGTCTAGCGCCATCAGGGTGATCTTTCGGCCAGTACATGTATACCTGTGACAGAGATTCATTGAGATTCTGCCTCATAAGCACGGTTTCACCCCCCCCCCCCCCCCAACCTCCTACGATTTTTAAAGGCACCGTTTATCTGTCTGCCCTAGACCTAATCCTATAATCAAATTACATGTAGTCTTGTTTTCATCAACAATTTGTTTAGAATATCACTTATTACGCGCTATTGAGATTTTTATTAAAAAAATTAAATATAACAAGTCACGCAGCAATTTCAATTTCCAACTTATATTTCTTTATTCCTTCGTAGGCTAATTTTGATTTGTTGACACACAAAATTTTAAATGCAATACCGTGTTAGTCTTAGTGAAATTGGGTCCCGAATAAAGAATTAAACTCTTAAGCTAAAATAAATAATTGAATAAAAAAGCACAAAAAAATATGTAAAATAATGTTTCACATTTGTCATACTTTTCATCATCATCATCATGAATATCTACTACATTTGTATACTACTACTACTACTACCGCAGGTGTATGTTTTATAACTTGCCTGAACATCTACTTTCAAGTTCCCCAAATTTAACGAGAGGCCATAAACAAACGGAGGGGGGGGGGGTTACAATGACCCTTTCAAAATGTATTTCAAAAATTGATATAATTCGTCCTTGTTTTCACGAAGTGACGGTAGTGAGGAAAATCGTAACGCAAAGTGAATGCAATTTTTTTTTCACTTCGTGAAAACAGCGACGAATTATCGCATGTAATTCATTGAATTTTATTGCGGGATACGAAAATTTACTGATGACTATTCCAACTCGCCCGAGTATGAGGTGACAATTGTTGGAAGTGGACACTCCTTGTAATATGTGCTATGGTCAAATGGAAAATTGACTATTTCAAAAGAGCTTCCTCTCTATAATTCAGTTAGAGGGAATAACCATTTATGGAATAAAGATTAACATCGCTTAACGTTTCAATTTGAAATTCCTTTTTTGTCTTCTTCGTTGATAATGAAACAAGCACTCACTCAATATAAAGGTAAACTATTTTAGTTAGCATATCCGATATATATATATATCACATTTGAGGTAATTCATCTAAAAGCACTGTGGAAGCAACACAATTTTTTTGCTACAAAAAAGAGAATTTTTGAAATGTAGCAGTGGACGGCAAAGTGTGTGTGTCATGCCTGATATGCCTAGGATACATGGTTTATGTCAAATAGGAGTAAATGATATCTTGGGTACCTGCAAGTGGTGAAATACGATACCACTGTGACTTTCACTACCATTAAGAAGGGAACACATTAGTCTTTACTGTAGATTTCTCCCGTGCTTAACCTATATACAAATCATGGCTTCGCTGTATTCTGAGTTTCTATCTGACCTCCTTTATGAAGAACCAAGAACTGTTTCTAGGCAACTGGGAGTCAATGTTGCAAGACAGTGATCGATACACGAGCCTAAAGGCTTTTATCTCTCATTTTTCTTGAACCTTATTATGTTTACATTTTTTTTCCCAGTAAGTCCCGGAAAAGAATGAACATTGGTTACCAGGGCATAGCCATGACAACGCATACGTCATCCATGATGCCACCTATAGTTCTTCGTTACACCATCGTATTCCCCCGGATGCCGACCCGGAACCACCTTAAGATAAAAGGCGGAAGTGCTTCCGGGCACGCTCTAGCTTTAAAACGTTTAGCGCTCAATCAACACTGATTCAGGTGGAATGTAAATTTTAAAGCGATTCGATGGAGAGAAAAAAAAAACGTTGGCTTTAAAACTGAATTCATTCCTTTCCCATGGCACATATTCAGTAGAGTAGCCACATTTGGGAGATATTAGGGCGTCAAATGAAGGGGGAAATAAGTATTGTATTAGCGGGTGGTAAATTAGGAGAGGGGGGATGTGGAAATATTAAATCAGGGGCGGATCTAGCTTTTTGCCAAAGGAGTGGGGGGGGGGGGGGTGACCAATTTTCCCCCTAAAATCGCGCCGTTTTACTGTTTTACTTTGTTGTTTTTTTCACTTGGCCGCCCAAGGGGGGGGGGGGGGGGTTAAACCGCCGAAACACCCCCTAGATCCGCCCCTGTAAATGATCCCCTCTTCCTTCCAGAAGAACCTTATCCTTTTCTCTTCGCGCCGTATTTAATGCAACCAGTCGGAACGATCCCCTACCAAAGCAACAACAGTGCCCCTTCAACTTTTTGGAAGTTGACTCATTGTATGTACATTATTGTATAGGTTATTCATGGGGGTGTAAAAATTATGCTTCAATATTCATCATCCTACAATGTCTAATACTTTTACCATCTCCAGTGACAAATTCACATCTGTAAACAAAATATTTTGTTAAAGCGTGTACAAATGAAAACGCAAACACATTTTCGATCAGCAAGTTATATTTTATTTTTTACGTTGAAGTATTTGATACATATCTTTAAAAAAACAATGATATCATTCATCTCTATAAACAAAATATTTTGTTAAAGCGTATATCAAATGAAAACGCAAACACATTTTCGATCAGCAAGTTATATTTTATTCGTTACGTTGAAATATTTGATACATATCTGTTTTGTTTCGTGTTCATACATCTATCAGAATAATGCGGATATGAAACATGTCCTTTAGAAATTGTAATTGCAATGATTTGTACATTCGTAATGATTATATTCCTTTTAATACTTCATATGTTTCTTGACATTTTTGTGAGTTTTCTTGTATTTTCCTTTTTTTTATATCTCCGACGTAAATGTTCTGGGTAAAAATAAAGTGGCAAGGGAAATTGTTTGGATACTCGCTTATGTCATTGGAAAAAAAATTACAATTCTCAATGCTAGGTTGCTAGTGCGAAAACGGCGCCACTGTAAGTCACATGATCCCTTGCATTGGCCAATTAAACTGCTTCAAAATGCCTTTATATCCCTTCGCATTGCGGCCAAACGTCTCCAGCTTGTTAGCTTGCTTCCATCCAATCAGAGACGCCGTCGTGCGGGCGTAGCCGGCTGGGGGCGCAGTTTTGATCGTCGGTAACTTCTCAGACTTCGCCTTATGGGCGACATCAATGTCAGTGACGTTGACGACAGTCTCAATCGACGTCGAGTTCGGCGACTGCCGCTCCTTCCACGATGATCCGTTGATTATGTTTGGGAGGTCGCTGTACGCTGACGCGTGTTTGAGTTTCGCGCCAGAATGAGACGGTGATACTGATTGGTCGGACGGGTGGAATCGGCGGGAAATGCTTTCGTCGGGGCCCACTGAACTCTCTCGTTCTCCGTCTCGTTCACAGTCGTCGTAGAAATATTTGTCTTCGGGATCGGGTGAGACTTGCTCTCCTCTGAGACGTTTGTACATTCGGGTATACTCGTTTGTAATGAACCCCCATCTTTCAGGCCAGTTCCGCCATGCCCGGTGTTCATGGCGCACGTGGTCCTTCCTGAAAAAAAGAAAAAAGAAAAAGAAAAAAGAAAACACAACACAACAGCGTGAAGGCTCATTTGAACTATTTTCTCTTTTACATTATATGTTATGCTAACGGATAGTCAACATGATTGTACATTGTTCGATAGGTAATACAATTATGGGGTATAGAAATTGCAATTAATAAGATGGTTTCGACGCATGTGTGATAGGCCTTTATAGGCCTATCATGCTGATGTCCATTTGTTTGATGGAACTTCCTACATCCAAGAGATAGCACATTCTTTCGTGACCGAAGCCCCAATTATACCAACTCTACTACTAGTATTGCATCATGAGCTACCAGATACTATATGCCTTTCCATCTATAGTAAATAATCCATACGCCTCCCCCCCCCCCTCGTTATCAGACTGTGGATTTGCCACTGGATTAAGTAACCATAGTTTATTTATTTATTTATTTCTAATCTTTTGAAGGGTAGCCCATTCACCAACAAGTAGTGGTCTTCCATGGGGTCCTGAATAAACATGAACATATTTACATGTTTATAACGTTATACAGAACAGTAAAAAAATAATACTCGTTTGCAAAATGAACAGTAGACCTAATGTCAATAGTAAAATATTGATTAAGTCGCAATTATGTGAATAAGTCATGTTAATATTACATAACATGCACGAATGTTCGGCTGAGCCATTCACAAATTACAAGTTTGTTTAAACAATCTCTTAAATGAACTGACAGAGGAAGCCGTTCGTTTACTGTCTAAATTATGATGAATACAAATTAAAATTTGTATACTCACCATCTTTCTGCGATGTGAACGTAATTTGGATTTTTCTTAAGATTGACTGCCTGCATCGTTGAAATAATTATTTTCAACTCTAGACTAATCCTAAGTTTTCGATATTGCAATGTTGGTTATGTTAGTTGAGCCCATAGCCCATATATGCAAGCCTTTGTTGCGGAATGTTTTAGTATCTATTCGTATACGTGCTCTTTGTGGTTTATATATTTATGGCGTTGTTACGGGCGCGTTGGACAGGACTCGATGACGTCACATACCGCTAAGACAATGCACATACAAATTATACGCGCAACCTGACATGAGTTGTGCGGTGAGCAAAAAAAAACACGTTGTGACGTCACACGTTGTTTACAAAACAATGCGCTAAGTCGTTGTTACGTCACTGACAATTTTGTGACGCAACAAATGATCCACATGATGTAACAAAGGATTAGAGTACATGCAATGCTGTGGCCCAAAAACTGATGATTATTCACACTATTTTATACACAATCATTTTGTTTTAATTGTTGCTTATTATTGAAGCGCTATTATTTCTTTCAAAAATGCAAGCTTATCTGCATAACTTGATTCTATTGACTCTTAACTAAATCATTCTGGTTTTAAAATGTAGTTGGACTGTCTCCACCCCCTCCCCTGCCATCCCATCGCGTTCAAAGTTCAAACCTCAATTTGTATTTATTGACTAATTTATTTATTGAAAAATATTGTGATCAGGATGGGCAAGAATCAGATATTTTTGTTTTAAATCCCGTTTTACCCCTTGGTTATGATGAATACAATACTTATTAATTAGAATTACCTAAAGCACATTTCAGAAAATGAAGATATTGTTGAAGACGTTAAATTGTTTTGTTTTGAATTGTTTCTGCTTTATCCACCTTTCAGATTTCATTCTTTTTATCTTACTTTTGTGTGAGTTTTCTTTAAGAACTTGACCCCACCCCCGCAAGTTTAACGTAGACAAAATATGTTAGTCTATCCTAATAAACCTTTTGAGCTAAAACATAATCGAGGCTGCATTTCGTTGAATGATCATAATTGCTTTCAATTATTATTTGTTCACAAATATAACAAACAAGGCTTTAGCTGTACATACACGATTTCAAAATAAATTTATTAATGATTGTGTTCAATCTAATAAAAACAGATATCCAATTCAGGTCTGAACGGACAGTTGAAAAGTCGAGCATAATGAATTATGTATGAGGGGATGACGTCACATCAACAACAAATATGGTGTAGAGGTCAGTGCTGTAGTCGTGTGAGTGTATGAGCCACGGAAAACACCCATTCGTATATCTGGATGCTGGTACTCTTGCTTCTTTCATGGTCACTAACTTACTCAGTGTACCCAAGTTTTCAGCTTTCTGTTACAGCTTTTGAGAGTAAACCCGATAGTAAGTAAGTAGCACACAAATTAAACGTTTTTGTTTATCTTGTCAACTAGAGATATTACTACGGTATAGATCTATGTGCCGCTGCTCGCGGAGACCCCAGTGCAGAGTAAGATTGTATAGCAACGTAGCTGTAGCGGCATGGACTACCCGGCGACATGTGTAGCGAGCCGTAGCGTAGCGCTCGTTATGTTGCTGTTTATTTGAGTTTCGAATGCGATAGGGAGAGAGAACGAGAATAGGCGGTATACAACGCCTAGCATATTTAAAGTGTATGTTCTTAGCTGGAAGTTTTACTCTTGTGAGGTACGAGTTTTATTGGTGTGTTGTAATATGATTGTGTTTTAATGAAATATTATTAGTAAAAGTATTGTTCTTCCATTTGGTGAATGTAATCATTTTAGAATTCTACTAAAAAAAACTATACTATTACTAGCCGTGTTGTTTATTATTCTGTGATATTTACTGTAATATTATATATGCAAGGGGCTGTTCTTAACCAACGTAAATAAGTGTAACTTCTTGAACTTATTCCATAGGACCATGTTTTATATAGAATTAACATGTGTGTCTGAAAACTGATGACAATCTCGAGAACTGGTCTGAGCCTAGACAGAAATAACCGTCTGGTATGGGTCATTCTTTAATAAAACTGACATTTGTCAACATTTTTATAGAGGTGGTCAGAGGAGCCAGATAGAATCTCAGCGCAACAACCATCGGTATCAGAGACTAAAGCTTTTGGTCTAGTCTGTGGCTCTGTGCCCAGTTATGAGTCTATACAGTGATACATACGACTACCCATGTATGTCTCTGGACAGGTTGGTTATCCAGACATTGGATTTCAAATTTAAAGCAGTTTAGATGCATACCGGTAAATTAAAATGAAAAAAATGACCTTCCATATATATTGGAAAACACTATCAATGACATCTAATTTGCATACTGTAAAATTTAATCCAAAAGTAAAAGAGACAGCTTTCAATTTGTTGAGCATGCAACCCCCCCCCCCCCCCCCCCATTTTCAAAATAGTTTGCTTACTATGAAGTACCATGTAGAAGGTTTTTAACCTTTACATGTAAGTTCTAAGATTATTCTCAAATATCACTATTCCAGTAATGAACTAGATCTAGTGCTGTATTTTTTTTTCAGTTTCCAAAATGGTTAGCTTACTATAAAGTAACATGTAGAAAGTTCTTTAACCTTTATCTCCTAAGATTATTCACAAATATCACTATTCCTGTAACATTAGTTTCTGTAGATGTGAATTGTGCAAAACTTATTGTAACTTGAAAATTCAGTTGCATATAATGATATAACCGTGGAATGAACTAAGAAATGTGAAATAAAGGAAATCAAACTAGTCAGTAGTCATCGCGACCACAAGAACACATGTCACCAATAACAACAAAACCAGCATTTATCTCCACACATTATTTTCAGTACCGGTATATGGTATTTACAGATTCTAAAGATGATAATTGCAGCTCTAAATGATATACCTGTACATATTTGTACTCGTAATTGATTAAAATCAGATGTTCCTTATCCACATGAATTTGGAGAATAGAGAGCTGAGTATTTAACCTGTGACCCCATGAAATTGTCATGCAAAGGGGATGCAAAGTTAAAGAGCATTTAAAAAAATTTAAACACACAACAACTCTGCAAGTTTCATTATTTCCAAGGACACGAGAGTGAATGAAGCTAATCTTGAGCTCTGGTATGGGAATTGTGTTTTTAGAGAAAATTACTATAATTTTATTCTGGATTGTTTATCCTGCAGAAGATTGGTTGTTTGCACAAGTGAAATAAAAACAAATGCTCAAAACCTACTGGGCATCATCTTAGATAAAAACCATAACTCCATTTGCACATAGTAACCTGTGTTAAGCACATTGTGTTGGGCCTACTTACCCAGATTTCCTTATTTTTTTATAAAATTATGCCCATTACTCAGGCACTATTCATGTATATTTCGATCAAAATTGTTTGGCTCATTTCATTTATTTGTAAATTTCATTTGATTCTGTTAGAATATATTTTCTATTTCTACCAGAACTCAAGTTTATCTTTAAGAATTCCATTGAAACTACTCCCAAGGATGAGGGAGAGAGAAAAGGAGGGAGAGAGAGAGAGAGAGAGAGAGAGAGAGAGTCGTCCATACATTTAATATCTATAGATTTTTAACTTTCATATGATGAACTGTTCATATCTTTATTATCCGTAGATGATAAATGAATGAAAGGTCAAAGACAGGCACATGCATTTTTTCTTTATTGCATTCTAATTGTATTGTAACCAAATTGTTTATGCTTGGTACATGCATGTTCAGTTTGTATTGTAATCTATACAAATTGATGCTCAATTCATAATGTCTATGTAATATCTATACATTGTCTATTCAATGTTCCTATGTGGTCAAGTCCAAGCTCTCTATGTCCAATAAATTACCATCATTTTTCTTATTATCAAGTTGACAGCCCCCCATGTACATGTAACTCGCCAAGCTTAAATCAGACAAGGCAAAACAGAAAATGCTAGCACTTTCCATTTTTGTATTCATAATTGCACCGTGTATATCTCTGTTCTTCTTGGTATTAAATGTAAGGGATGGTCCTGACAGGAAATGACCAAATACCTAATACTCTTGTCCATCCATTGTCTGTAATTGTAAGCCCATGCATGAATACAATTGTATGGGACTGGACAGCAAATGACCAAATACCCAATACTTTTCAATGCATTGTCAGTAATGGTAGTTGTATATCCATGCATGAACACCAATATGCCCTCTATCGTAAACTCTCTACCTGACTTCTATATTTAACAAGGAAGTATATAGGCCAACATGTACATGGTGTAAAATCATAAACTTTTATCGCTGTATGAAGATTTGCTCGTAAAATGTGACCCGTCCCACAACTAAAAGAACCAAAAGCTTGACATCTAATGTGTCACTGGATTTTATGACAGTAGAAGTTGATATCTGGGTCAGAAGGCCATGCATGTTTTTTATTGGGCAGGAGTGGCAAGTGATAAGAAGATAAGGAATTGTATAATGATCTTATTTATTGTCTTGCTTCCGTTATTACTGGTACTGTAAAACGACAAACTTTTGCTTTCGTTTATTGTTCATGAATTTCAGAGTGTTTGCATTTTGTATTGTACACTGTATGTGACATATCAAGATTTATTTTGCAGAAGTTACTGTAAAACCATGTTTTTTCACTTGTATGAAACGTTCAATTCAAGATATTGTCATATCTTGAGTATAAACTCATGTGATTTCATGTATGATGTAGATTGTTTTATTCGTTTAAATGTCTGTATTAGACATTGAATTTAATTGATTTGAATCAAGATATCAGATTCATGAAAGTTTCATACTGCAAAATATGAATTAGCCTTGACTAGCTCCCAGATATTTTTCTGAGTTTCATTTTCCAAAAACGTATTGATTTGATATATTTGTATACCCAATGGATTTGGTAATGAATTATTAAATTAGTAGATCAATGATCAAATCAAGTCAATGATAAATTAATGAATTGATGATCAGCCAATCAACATCTCATCACCCAATCCAACCAATCAGTCAATTATTGTCATAATTGTGTTTGATTGAATGCAGTAGGCCGCCGGCTTGTCATTGGTAATGATTATGCTTCACACATTTAGCTCAATGTCAATCTAAACTGCATAGTCTCTTCTGTAGTATAGCTGACACTGACGTTCAATGGGCGTGTCATTTTTACTTTTAACAAAAACTATGGTGAAGTTGTATTACAATTTTTTAAAATTAAATATTGAACATACTCGCTTCCTGGCCTTTCAGACCAAATATTTGCAGAGGAGTTGACACATTACAGCCCTTGTTATCTTGGGGAAGAAACAAAATTCTGTCAAAAACTTTGAGGCAAGCAAAATATCTTTATTTACGTGTAGGAACATTCTGTGTAAACATACGTAAATATGACGTAGTTGGACAAATTTTATTAGCTTTAGTTTTCTAGTGACTATCACATGTAGCATCTAACTGAGTTTTATGATTAAAGGCATCCTTTAACAATGTTTAATCTGAGATGCATGGCCCTATGTGTTATATGTGATATCGTGTAATATTGAAGCCCTAAAAAAATTGCACTTCAAAATGATCATAAAGTGCCTCAAAAAGTATATATCTTTGAATGACCGGCTTTACCATAGGTACTCATTTTCCTCAATAGACTGTAGTGTTATAAAAACCATTAGGAAAACTTTTTTTTTAAAGTTTGATATCCAATCATGTCTTGATATCAGACAGTCGATCAGCTTGTATAAGTCATGGAGTTCCTGACTGACCTAAATGTTTATAATCATCATTGCAGCATGAGCTAAATCCAGGATTTTGTTTCAGAATCTGAGACAAAGATACCCAATCCCTTTAAGATGAATGATGCACATATGTTGCCCAGATGTGACTTATATCTCTGTGCATTGTGCTCTTTATTCCATCACCAGCTATCATGTCTGTCCGCAGTATATCCGAGTGTAACGCAAAGCGCCCCTTGCTCAGGACCTGTTGCTTCTACCGTGTACGCTTCCAATTATGTACAGATCCCTAGGTACCCCGTCGGTCCCATGGATGCATTATGACTAAAAACCAAATTTACTCGGACGGTAATGCACTACATTTTCTGCCCGTGTGCGTGATGATCATGTCCATGCTGTGGGGCTCGGGTGCTCACGGCGACGACATGCATTTCATCAAAGCACGTGTAATTGTTTGTGCCAGCAATGTATTCGTCGTCGTCGTCCGTAAGGCGTCGGTCATAATGTAAATTGAGAAGTCCACCATTTGAGAGTCTGTTTTGTGTTGTGGCAGGCTGGTGGCTTGGGCATCATATTAGTGGGTTGCTGTGTGGTGCTACTGCCTTGCTTCCCCCTCCCCCCCCCCCTCTCTCTCTCTCTCTCTCTCTCTCTCTCTCTCTCTCTCACTGCTGAGCCACTAAATGCCAGAGTTC